CTGACGAAGGCCGGACGTGGAGCGCGAGGAACGACCCTCGACACTGCCACCACTGGAGCCATCTTGCTTCAAACTCACAAAGTACTGACGAATAGAGCCGAAGATGTGTTCAAGACTGACCCGCCACGTTGGACCACTGGAGCGAAGCAGCACGAAGCAGCACTGCGAGTTTGTGGGTGTGTTTGCTAGTGATGTGAGCATCTGCACGTAGGCCACGTACATTGGTGCAGAGATCATGTCGCCAGCAACACGCAAGAACTTCTGCAACATCACCTACACACACACACACAACAAAAAAGAAGAGAGATTTAGGATGGTCAACTTACACAGCATTGTGAGCAGAACAATAAACACTGTCTCGGAGCTTACATGTTGCGAAGTTTGGAGTTCAATCACACAAGTTACTGAGCTGTTGCATGCAACTGACTTACATGTTTCGAAGTCTGGAGTTCAATCACAAGATGCTAATCTGTCGCGTGCAACCGGACTTACATGGCGATGTTGTGGCTGCAAGTGCAGTGGCTGGTTGTTGCGACTGGCCTCGCCCTGCGACGACGACTCGTTCACTTGCCAGAACTCGGTGGCCAAGCCTAGCTTCTCATCATGATACAATGATCCAATCTGCCAGTCACAGAACAAGAGACCACAACATGAAGAGAATGCAGAGATCCACTTTCTGACTGTATATAGTATCTAGTTACAGCAGTGGACAGTTACTCTTCCGAACACGTTTTAATTTCAGTAAGGGGCCATCCGTAAATATAGATATTTATTTAGAAACGAAAACTAGTCGTTTAGGGGGGGGGGGGGGGGGGAGGGGGCTGAGCGCCTGTTCGTTTCTCGAAAAATATCGATGGACATTTTGCATGCGTGAGCATGTCCAGAAAAAGACCAAAAATATCGATACTATGTACCATTTGTATGTGTTCGTTTTTCAGGGAGGGGGGTTGAAGAGAAACGATTAGTTTTCGTTTCTAAATTAATATCGGTTTTTACGGAAGGCCCCCAAGATTCAAAGTATGGCACATCCTGCAATATAAATAAGTTGGAAATAACAAAACAAAAGGTATCACCAACATTACATGTACGCTTGGAAACAGTGCTGAGTGAAAAGGCCATCATTAAAAAAACCCACAGCAGGTCGTCAACATTTGCAACACAAAAAGATGGACAGTAATGTGAGGTGCATTTCCTCACCAGCTTCATCAAGTCCACAAAATCAAAGCGAAGACGGCTGGTGGGAGGCTCAAGGCCCTCCTGCTCGTAAGCACTCTGGATGCGCGCCTCTTCGTCACCAGTGCTACGCAGCACGTTCACCTGGTATCCAGAACACAGCAGAGCATACACAGTGCACGGCAATACACACACACACACACACACACACACACACACACACACACACGCACACACACACGTGCGCACGCACATACACAGCAACACACAGGACACCAGCATAAAGGGCAGTACTATTACATAGTAATTTCATAATGCAGCAGATGCTCCAAAGTTCCACCAAACTAAGGCGCAGATCCGCCTAACAACTCTTAGAACCAGGAATTAGTACTGAAATCCTGTAGTAACTTACACAGATAAGCAAAGCATGGCAGCAGCCAGGACCTTCACCCAACCCATTGTCATCCAGGCACAGGCTGCAATGTTCTACATAGGTAGCATCTTCATCGTACGTCTAGGTTCAAAACAAACCGATGACAGTCCAACCCAGCTGGGAATGTATTGGTTTGGCCAGTGCTGCTTGGATCTCTGCATAGTGCACAGTACTAGCTAACAGTTCTATACCTACCTTGTGGGGCATTTGTGTCAGTATCGCTGTCACCAACAGGTGCATCCTCCTGGTGTAAAACTCCTGCAAAGAAGTAGGGAATACCAATCACACACGCATGCACACACGCACGCAGAAACACACACACACACACACACACACACACACACACACACACACACACACACACACACACACACACACACACAGATAAAACACAGAGACAGAGAGAAGTAAAGAGAAGGGGACGGGGCCGTGACTACCGAAAAAACATGACAGTCTTGCCAATAGAGAGGTTCCGGGGTATGATTTTCCGTGCCAAACTCCGTATGGGCGCTACGGATTTTTTCTAGGCGTGCTCCACACGATTTTTCGGCACGGAGAATCCGTGTGGACTGGCTTTCATACGAACCATGTTTCGTATGGAGATTTTGCGTCATCGGGTGCAGACAGATTTTTCGTGTACAAATTTGGTACGAGAAACATCAATTTTCCGCGGGAAGTTTTGATTTCGGTACAAATTTTCAAAATAAAAAGGCATAGCGCGGGAATGTGACGTGTTTGCGATCGTAACCTAGGCAATGACGGCAAACACATACTGTAAATCATATTATTTTAACGACCCGCAAAGTTAACGATTTTCTGATTTTTAAAGGTTAACGGTTTGAAAAGTTAACGATTTTCTCAGACAGATTCAATAATACTAGGACTGCTCGTCAAGAACATTCATTGTTGTCCATCACAGTATACCTCGATGTCAGGAGAATAAAGAAAATGAAATTTATCCAGTGTAAGAGCGTAAAAATTCAAATTTTTTCGATCTCCCGCCGCTTCGGCAAAATTCATCTGAGAGACTTCGAAGTTGTTCGAGCCGACTGCTGAGCGTCTCTGCTATCATCTAGATCTTTCAATTGTTGAATTCAGTTGAGAATTGACCGAGTTACGATCCGTTGAACACGCGCTGCATGCCATAATGTGAAATGATCGATTTCAATCGTGCGAGCCCAAATCATACGACTTTTGCTAACGAATTTTAAAATAGCAATGAAAAATATCAATTGTGCACTCATAACCATGTATAAACAATTAAAATGAAACAATTCCAGAACGTTTTCGTGTGACCATCATCAGTGGAACATCGTCACATAGTAAGAATCACTAAAACAACCAGTTATATAGCTAGAGTAATATGAAAAGAAGCGTGAGAATGCAGCACAGCTAGCGGTTATGCATAACGCGTGTAGTGTGAACCTTTGCAGTGTATCTGAGAATGGTAGCAGTAGATGAATGTGGCAGCTGTGAGTGCGTGTGAACAAAAACTGGTGAGTGCGTATTATTTAAAAAGTGTGAGTGCTACAACATTTTCTTTTTGCTTGCATAGAACAGGGTCACGTGTGCGAATATATACAGCTTCCAACACCTGCAACTGCTTAAAGAAACGCGCGCGACAAATAACACTAAACCAGGAATCGTCAAACAACTTACGACAATCCGGACTGGACACCAAATGCTTGTAGATGGCAGACTTGCTCTTGTCGATGTCGAACCCCTCCTCGTCCGTATCACTCTCATCCTCCACTTCCTGTTCCTGCTCACCCTTGCTTTCCTCCTGACCATCCTGTTCATCCCCATCATCATCCTCCATCTCCATCTCCTCATGCCATCGCTTCTTTCCCCTTGACGTGTTCACTGCTGCGCCCGTACAGGATGGTCAGGAGGAAAGCAAGGGTGAGCAGGAACAGGAAGTGGAGGATGAGAGTGATACGGACGAGGAGGGGTTCGACATCGACAAGAGCAAGTCTGCCATCTACAAGCATTTGGTGTCCAGTCCGGATTGTCGTAAGTTGTTTGACGATTCCTGGTTTAGTGTTATTTGTCGCGCGCGTTTCTTGAAGCAGTTGCAGGTGTTGGAAGCTGTATATATTCGCACACGTGACCCTGTTCTATGCAAGCAAAAAGAAAATGTTGTAGCACTCACACTTTTTAAATAATACGCACTCACCAGTTTTTGTTCACACGCACTCACAGCTGCCACATTCATCTACTGCTACCATTCTCAGATACACTGCAAAGGTTCACACTACACGCGTTATGCATAACCGCTAGCTGTGCTGCATTCTCACGCTTCTTTTCATATTACTCTAGCTATATAACTGGTTGTTTTAGTGATTCTTACTATGTGACGATGTTCCACTGATGATGGTCACACGAAAACGTTCTGGAATTGTTTCATTTTAATTGTTTATACATGGTTATGAGTGCACAATTGATATTTTTCATTGCTATTTTACGACTGTTGTCTCCTCGTCGGTTATTTGAATTTTAAAATAACAACAAATCTTTGCTCGTTAACTCGTTAGATTTACTTGTTCGTTACATATTCATGATTTACAGTAAGTTCCGTACTCCGGAACATTGCACTGCTCGAAAACGACGTATAAAAAGTCCGTAGCGCCTCTACGGATTTTGGCACGAAAAATCGTACTCCGGAACCTCTCTAATATTAATAATCGCACCAAACTGGGCTGTACATGTACAAGACTTGAAATAGAGCAGCTTGCTCACCACTCACAGTGATTAGCTGGTACCAACCACTGCACTAGCGGTAGTACGTGGACTACACACTGAGTGCACAGGACATTACCACAATGGGCCACATATTCACAGGTCAGTTAGTAATAGATCATACACTGAGGTCAGATAAGCTGAGCTTACATTCTCCTTGAAGTCGCCGGCTTCCAGGACAGCAGTGCGAAGGAAGAGCAGCGCACCGTCCTGTACGGCCTGGTCGAACATTTGACCAGGATCCTCCAATGTCTCCACAGCCGCTGTCAAAGACACACGTAGTCCGCATGCACACATACACACACACACACACACACACACACACACACACACACACACACACACACACACACACACACACACACACACACACACACACACACACACACATGGGATAGTAAGACACTAGACACGCACAAACACTGAAGTGATCTCATGAGGAGTTTACAGAGACAGCGCAAACAGTATCAATAGCGGACTCCCTGCCATCAGAGCAAACGTGGCAATGATCACAACCTACAAAGCCTCAGCTGTGTACGCAAGAGAACGAAGTCTAGCGGGCTTGCTGACTACAATCGTAAAGTTGAGACAAGCGGCAGACGAGAAACACAACTTACCAGCCATAGAGGGAATCAAAGAGAGGCCCTGCAGCAAGATAGACCAGGCCAGCTGCACAGCGGCCTGCAGGCCGTCGTTCTTCCACTCTGCAAACACGCTCTGGTGGACGTCGTTGACAAAGTTGCGGTCATTGGCGACCGGCACACTGGCCATCCACATGGCACTGCCGATCAGCGCTTGGCCATCGACGTCGGCATGTTCAACACTGATAGCATAGAACAATGCCATTAGCACCACCAGTGTGACAGAGTCTAGAGTGCCAGACGCGGTGGATGTGGAGCAGCTGTAGAATCAGGCAAGAAAAGCAAGCCGGACGAAGAAAGGGAAATACAGGTAATGAGAAGCGGAAGTACCTGTAGAACACGACTCAAACCCGGATTTCATTCATTCAGTCTTCCACACAATTAGTCAATTACCCACCCGACACAAGTCACTTCTACCTGTAGCCTGTAGCCCAACTCCAGCACACAATGCTGGTCACAAAGCACAACATCATGCAGTATAGCACTCTTCACCGTTCAGCACTGAAAGAAAAAACCCAGCTACTTACTCTCTTAGGTATTGGAGCAGCAATAACACGTCTCCCTTGGACAGAGCTGTCTGGCAGCTAACGGAGAAGAGCACATCGGCGAGCAGACCCCGCTGCTCGTCAATCAGAGCTCCCAGCTGCCGCTGATGCACATCGCCACCCACACCGCGACCTTCCTGCAGCTTTTCGATGATCGTCTGTTCATTGATGCCACGCAGCAACTCGAGAATCTTCCCAACCAGACCCTCCTGCAGGTCACAGAAAGGATGCAACAATGTACCAAACTTCAAACGCATGCACACGCACATATGGAGCTATAGAATCAACACAAGTGGCTACCATTGTGCACCTAATGCAGTGAAACAGTGCTGCATAAACTTGTATCCTGGATATAACATTCTTTGGGATAAAAAGTACTATCCTTTTACGACCGTGCAATGTGCTATGCCAGGAGTATGACCATGGGTATACAGCACCCCTTGGCTACAAAGTACAGATGTTTACTGCCCGTGGAGGTACGCAATACTGAAGTATCACTGTAAAGGTACTTGATCAGCCACCACCTACCTGAATGATATTACAGTGCGTTTCAACAGAATAGACTTTTTCGAATAATTTAAATTCGGTTTGAGCTTTTTGAGAAATTTCGTAGGGATACTGCTCAGGCAGCTTCCGCAATTTTTCTCATATAAATTTCTAAGCAATTGGATAACAGACGCACAATTTCGGAAATTTAATCCACAAAGTGATCACAGATTTTATGTGGTATAGATGCTGGCCTAACGTTTTTTTGAAACCAGAGGTCTGGACTTTTGAAACACACTATATGTACATGCACAACATAGCCCAATGTACAGTGTAGTACGCAAGCAAACAGCTCACTATGAAAATGACAACCACCAAAAGGATTAAAATTCAAAAAGAGGACCAAAAGTTTACAAGTTATCCGTTTTGTCCAACACTAACGGTTATAAGCAGAATACTGTTGAGTCAAAAGTGTGCAACAATTAGCACAAAACTGACTGATGAGATCATGACATTCAACGACCTGATGCTTAGCTGCCCCCATCCGAGTTTAACCAAAAGGATTCACTGAAGAATGCTGAGAGGGCTCAATCAGGCACGGGGCAAAGTCCAAGGTACCAGAGTAACCGCAACAACTGCGCAGTGAATATGGTGGTGGTGATAGGGCTGGCAGCAATCTCCCAACTCACCTTGATCAATCCATCCGTGAAGTTGGTGGCTAGTGTGGAGAGCTCGTCGGACACGCCGACCTGCCAGTTGCGGCCGCGGCGCGCCTGTACCAGCGCGTCCAGGCACTGCAGAAAGACACGCCGACCGTCGTGGTACAGGATGACGGCCACGAGGCCGCGCGACCAGCCCGGATAGCGTGGCTGCTGCTGCTCGCCGGCTACCAGCAAATCCACACTGGAGAACTCGTTCAAATCTAGCAAATCACTCAGCAGCAACGCCTCGTCAATGAAGCTCTGCGGCAGAGTCGTGGTGTGCGGGCGTCCGGGAAGGGACACGGGATTTGACGCCGCCTCCTGGATCTGCTTGCGGTGGTTGGCATTCTTCACCTGGACGCAGCGGAAGTCAGAAGCATAAGTGATCGCAGTGGCGTGAAAATATAGCAGACTGTTACTGCATTATCCAGGGTATCAGGGGTATCATGGGTATCAGGGTGACATGGGTATGGTGCACATTTTTGTAGGCACTATTATGGACTCCATATCCCAGTTGAACAATATTATATGAACACGAAATGCATGGCATACAAATTTCCCTTGAGAGGTCCAGGATGGTTGGCCCTGAAGGGGCGTGTGTCGTACTTTTGTGTACACTATGACCGGCGAATATGGCTTACCGGTATAATGATAACGCTACCGCACCCAAGTACGCTGTAAGCTGATGTCTTATAATCTATGATTTAAAGTGTAAGGCCGAAAAGGACTTGGTTGTGTTATTGCTGTGTGAGTATTGTATGATTTATAGTGTGTATAGTAACAGAAGTTTCTCTCTCCTCTTCTGTTACCATCCAAGCACGTCTAATTATGTAGAATCGCAAACAAACCACGCATTGTTTGAAGAGAAGATAGCGGTGATCAGTGAACCGTGAAGGTGACCATGGCTAGCTAAATAGTGACTGATTGTGGACAGAAAATATCGAAAAATTTCTGAGAGCGAAACTGATGACGAAATACTTTGGTAATGATATTGTATATTTTTCAATTTAAAATTATCAGGAAATCAATTCACCGGTTTGGACTCACCGGATTTTTCAGAAGAGATGTAAAGTCTGCCTTGTGCTTCTGAAGAGCAAGCTCGAGGTCCCGCTGGGCGCCCGGGTGCCTTTTGTGTAGAGCATTGTTTACCACAACTGCCAAATCCTTGAATGCTCCCCACAACACTGAAATAAAGGAAAATCGATATTGAACAAGTGTGTAATAACAAAGTTACTTCAGCCAATTCAACAGACAGCTATCTCTCCGTAAAACTAAAAAAATTCTTACCTGTTGTGGACATCTTTTGTCCGCTCACCTCGCGGTGAATCCTCTACTTCAAAAAGTTTTTGACCAGGGGTGAAAGACAAACACGTTTTTGAAAATGGCACAGACGGGACGAAGCGTGCTGTGAAATCGTCAACAGCAACACTCAAGTCAAATCGGTGCGCGTGATACCGCATCGATCGATCGAGTGCTTCGCGGGAACAAACTTTTTTTGAAGATTTCGGCGCCATTTTTTAATGTTGTCATAGAAAGCTAGGTATCCCGGGAGTTGTAAAAAAGACGAGTGGAGCCTGGAGGCCAGATCATGATCATGTCAGCGTGCAAACAGTGCCATACATATACACGCAGCCACAGCGCGCGCGGCCGAACGCGGGTAAAACAAGCAGAGTAGAATTTTAGTACGTAGATCTACTCTCTCAGTGCCTGAATCCCCGGGCCCCTGCCGTTGACCGTTGAGCGCGTTGTGTGTATACGTAGATCTACGTGTAGCCTCGCCTAATGTGTACGACCTGAACACGTGTTGCAGCACACGCACACGTGTACTTCGTACAGCACGCCTTTAGTTTAGGCTGTTTAGCTTTGTGAGGTGAAAACAAAAAAAACAACAGATAACATCAAGTTCAAGTGAGGTGGAACGGTAGAAGAAAGGACAACATAATTGACAGGTACCATTATCCGTTTGCCTTCACTTATTATCAAACGGCATTGCCGTTTACAACTACCGAACTACACTCGCAAAGCAACAGAATTTCGCTGCACTTTCACAATGGCCGAAGGAGAATCAAAGCCGCGCGTCGCCCTCGTCACAGGCATTACTGGACAGGTTGGTTGGATTCTGGCTTATTCAATTGGTTCCAATTTATATTTCCTATCGCCGAGCTCAAGGCACTTTGTTTTGAACCGTTTTTTCTCTGTGCAGGATGGGTCTTATCTAGCTGAACTCCTTTTGTCCAAAGGCTACAAGGTAGGTCGTAGTCGATATGCAAGACGAACCGGAACATGCAGCGGAATACCCCGTCTTATATTATGTTGTGCCAGGAGTCCGCTTGCTCACTCTAACAAGCACGCACTTGGTCATCTGAAAGTATCGACCTACATGACATTTTCTTACCCGTGCCGTGGTGCTGCACATCTTGCAGCGTTCCTCCTTGGTTGCCGATTGGTTTTGATCACTCCCCAGTGTTATTTGTGTGTACGATGAACGTACTACACGCCAGTACATACAGAAAGTGGGACGCAGTTTTCATTGTGTAGTGTGCATGTTGTGTTGACTGGTAGTGGTAGTTAGCAGTACACTGCCAGCCAAGTTTGCAAGTGCCTCTTTATGATCTTCAAGTACACTGTACGATGATATGTCCATCCACACTCACAACATGTACCTTGCATAATTTTAAAAATTTTGTATGGAATTTGCCATACTAGTAGTTTGGGGGAAAGTGTATGTGAGTGAATCAACCAATTACAGTCCATTTCAAAACTATAGACGCGCAGTGTTTTTGAAATATTTCAAATTTGGCTGGAACTTTTTGAGAATAGTTTTCGGAATATTGCTCAGGTCCGCTCCACAATTACTCTCATAATTATAGTTTCTAAACGATTGGATAACCATGATAACAGACGCCCAATTTGGAAAACTTTATGCACAAAGTGATCACAGATTGTAAGTGGTATAGATGCTGGCATAACGGTTTTTGCCTAGGTACGCGTCTATAGTTTTGAAATGGACTGTAATTATTTACCAGTTTGCCTGCCAGAAAGCTGCCTCTCTTTCGAAAGGGAAAGGGAGTAGGGAAAATGAAAAAAGAAGTTTCCAGTACACTTCATGCAACTACTTCAACTACTTCATCAGTTCAAGTAAAAGTTCAAAAATCGCAGGTACAGTGAAACCTGTCTAAGACGGCCGCTCAAAAAAATGTGGTCTCTGTTACCAGGTGGTCTCCTTATCCAGGGTCATTTGACTGCAAATAGCACCCCTTGGTCCTGGTTTCAGTGGTCTTCTAGGACAGGTGGTCGCCTTTTTCGAGTGGTCGCCTTGACAGGTTTTACTGTATCACTGTTTTCAAAGAAGTAGTCTAAATTGTGAATAAAGTTACAACGTGGAATCGCAATTCTGTCGTTTGGTGCTGTATACATTTTGGCATGTGTGTATACCGAAATCAAATGCCAAGCAGATCAGTGGTTATACCTTTTCTGAAATCGACATGCTTCGGAATATGTTATCTTTCTCCCTTACTTCCCATAACACCTGTTTTCTGTCTTTGAATGAGGAAGCTGAACTTCCCGGTACACGAAAATCCATCTTCACCGATGTAGCACAATAATTTATGATCCCACCAGTATTATGCAGATCTATATTAAGTTAAGTGCATCTCTTGTCTCTATTCTGGATTAATGTGTGCAAACAGGTCCATGGCATCATCCGCCGTGCCAGCACATTCAACACTGGCAGGATCTCTCACTTGTATGAGAAGCCGGAGCTACACAAGGGTGGACGTACGTGGTATACCTCTGTGTAACCAACAGTACATAACCCCCCAAGAGTGTGCAACTCCAGCTATGGGGTCTGCGACGGCAGAACTACATATCACGTGATGAACCCGTACACATTATTTGCACTCTGTGCATTACTAGATACAGGGTCGTACGCAACCCTGCTTTAGGTACAACTCTCTTGTGGTCACTTTGCACTGTTTGCCAGCGTGACCTTTTGAACCATATCACGTGATGTGAAGGTCTGCTGTCGCAGCACTGCATAGAGGTTGTGCAGGCAGTTGCACACTCTTGGGGATTATGTACTCTTGGTATAATGATCATGTGACTTTGTGGCACTTTTTCTGGTAGTCTTTTTGTGAGGGCAGGCAGGCATAGACTTAGTGGGATGGTGGTGTACAGTCCGTTCATCGGAAACTGGCCCACTACCTTGCTACCTACTCAAGGCCACATTTGAAAAATCACCTGTCTTTGACCACTTTGGTGATGGATCTGATCGTCTCACCTCACACCGCTGCATCTGTGCCTTGATCCTTGAGGGGTGGTGGCGTTCCTATGGATGCGAGAAACTCGGTCTAATGGGGTATTCACACCACAGGCACTTGCACGTTTTACAGGGAGTGACATACGAGAAAAGTGACTGTGTGGATTCACACAGCTGCACTCGACGACAGGCACGTTTGCATTTTTGAATGCTTCACCGACCAGTAGCCATGGGTATTTCAAATTTTCAAAACACACATACGATAGTCTAAAGAGCCGCGTAAAAAATCAAGTCTTGTTTCGCGCTTTTTGGTGTAAATGTACTCTTGCACGCCACGATTATCGTGAAAGTGGGGCCCCAGCTCGCTTTCACTTTTCAGCCACTTTCAGGCACTTTTCTCGTTCGCAGGTAAAATACCATAGCAACTTTCCGGTGCACGTGGATTTGCCTGTCGTGTGAATACCCCATAACCGAGTCTCTACGCGAGCCGTGAACTTTTTTTGTTAGTACAGTGTAGTGGTGGTGGTGGTGAAATCAAGAACTTACTTCGAGTACTTTTTTTAACCATGCGAATGTAATGGTTTGTGCAATTGACGAAAACCGGTTCGAGTTCTGAATTATTTGTGTGTTTATATCACGTGCAAAGATCTGTGACTCTTTGTTGAAGTCAGAAGGTAGATGTTTGTTCGTTTCTCCTGCGCGTGCTGATGTTATTCCCTGCAGCCATGAAGCTTCATTATGGCGACATGACAGACTCTAGCTGCTTGGTGAAGATCATAAGCGAGGTATGAACGGAAACCCAGCGGGTGGGTGTTGCTTGATCTGTGCAGTGTGTGCCTTGGCCACCACTATGCATGGAGACGCAGTACGCGTAGTAGAGTGCGGGTGTTGCTTGACCTGTGCAGTGTGTACCTTGGCCACCACTATGCATAGAGACGCAGTACGCGCCAGTAGAGTGCTGGTGTTGCTTGACCTGTGCAGTGTGTGCCTTGGCCACCACTATGCATGGAGACGCAGTACGCGCCAGTAGGGTGCGGGTGTTGCTTGACCTGTGCAGTGTGTGCCTTGGCCACCACTATGCATGGAGACGCAGTACGCGCCAGTAGGGTGCGGGTGTTGCTTGACCTGTGCAGTGTGTGCCTTGGCCACCACTATGCATGGAGACGCAGTACGCGCCAGTAGAGTGCGTCCCCCTAAGCAACGCACGGGCTGTTGCAAAATTCTTTTAATATGAGGAGCTGAATCAGTTATCTACATGTACTGTAAAAGCCATTATTCTAACGAGGCGCATATTATAACGATTTCCCAAAATTGACTCGTTTACGTGTACCAAAGGTAACGATTCTCACTCATTCTCAACGCTCAATACGACAGTGTATGTATCGATTTCTGTATAACGATTTCTATTTTAACGACAGATTTCTCCTCGTTAACTCGTTAGAGTTAGCACTTCGTTATATATGGCTTTTACAGTATGTGGATAACCTGTAGAGTGGTGACCAGTGAAATTAGCCCTCAAACATACAATACACTGTAACTCCCCTGCACTGCATGTCCCCGGTAGCACTACAAACACACAAGTATTTGTAGTTAATGCAGCACTCGTTTTTTTTTTTCATGGGGAGAATCTCACTGGCCCGGGAATGGAAGTTCGAATGCTTACTGTTGTATTCTGTTGTATGGCTGCTTGTCCAGGTTCAACCAACTGAAATTTACAACTTAGCTGCACAAAGTCACGTCAAGGTCTCGTTTGACTTGAGTGAATACACTGCTAACGTAGATGGCGTAGGCACTCTGAGAATGCTGGATGCTATTAGAACCTGCGGCCTTGGTGACACGGTTCGCTTCTATCAGGTGAGCTATTCGTTCCCACGGAAGCGGAAAGGTGGTTCTTGACCAGGGAGTTGTACGACTCCTAGTTCTTGACCTGCCCGGTACGCGAACCCGTCGAATTTTTTTTATTCGTTCCAAAAGTTTCTCTCCTTGCTCTCTGCCAAGTCTCTTCCCTGCTTTTACTCAGAGCTTCATATCAAAAACTGTCTACCTGTATCTGTCTATGTACACATCTCTTGGAGTCTTTATCGACTATTTGTATCTCACTTGTTCTCTCCTCTCTACAGGCCTCCACTAGTGAACTGTACGGAAAGGTTCAGGAGATTCCCCAGCGCGAAACAACGCCTTTCTACCCTCGTTCTCCTTATGGTAAGAGATGGTAACACTGGAACCGGGAGGAAATAGTGTCACTAGCGCAAGACATATTCACCATCCACGTTTCTGTCGGCATTCTGTCTTTATAGGAGGTGTTTAATCTGAAAGATGGCTCACCAATGTGCCACTTTCTATGCATACAGTACTAGACCATTGTTTAACGTTGTTTTGTCAATGTTTCCATGTGTTTGTTCCACCCTTTCAGCTGCCGCCAAGCTGTACGCATACTGGATCATTATCAACTACCGCGAAGCCTACGGCATGCATGCATCCAATGGTATCTTGTTCAACCACGAGAGTCCCCGTCGTGGCGAGACATTCGTCACTCGCAAGATCACGAGAGCCGTTGCCAAGATCTCGCTAGGCCAGGAAGAGGAGCTGAGCTTAGGCAACCTAGACTCCAAACGCGATTGGGGACACGCTAAGGACTATGTCTATGTGAGTGTCAGTGTGTGACGGGTTTCTTGGAGTGCGGGTTGTGTCTGTGTGTACGGTGATGGAGTGTGGTGCCAGTGACACTGCATTAGCCTTTTCCTTGCTGTTCTCTAACACAAACGCTCTCTTGCTTTCTTTCTCTCTGTGTCTTCTGCAGGCAATGTGGTTGATTCTGCAGCAGGAGAAGCCCGATGACTTTGTCATTGGCACCGGCAATGTTCACAGTGTGCGCACCTTTGTTGAGCTCTCCTTCAAGGAGATTGGTGTTGAGATTGCGTAAGTCTTTGTCTGCTGCTGCCTGCCCCCCCCCCCCCCCCCCCCACACACACACACATACTGCTAGGCGGAATAACTCTGTTAGTAACAGCGTGCACTAGCTGATAGTCTGTAAAAAAGAAAAGATAAGTCCATTTTTCTTCAGACTCTTCCCGTTTACAACCTTCCCTCAAACTTATGAATAGCTGATAGTCTTGAGGTCACAACCCAGTCCAGGAGAACAAGTTGGCTTGTAGGAATCGTCTTGAATCAGCAGCATTCGAATTCCAAAGGGGACAAGAAAGGGACGTGGCACGGGCACTCTGGATAAAGTGCTCAAGAGGCCTTGGCGAATTTGGAGAGGCTGTGTCACGAAACAATAATTATTGACCAATGTGTGGACACAACTTGTGCAGTGGTTTTCTGGTGGACATTTGCCCAGTGCATCAAGCCAAGAGTGGCATGAAACCCTGCCTTTCCAGGCACAGCGTCCATCATGTATTTGTTCGTGTGTGTGTACTTGTCGGATATTCACTGTTGCTCAGGTGGGAAGGAGAAGGTGTCGAGGAGATTGGCAAGGACAAAGCCACCGGTGTAGTGCGCGTGCGTGTTGATCCACGATTCTACCGGCCCACAGAAGTGGTGAGTGTGTAGCTAGGCTGGAAACAGCTGCATTTCCCGTGTACATGTACTGTTCACGTACATGTTTCTGTATATCTTCATCCTCAAAGCAACTCGATACATATACTACCAAGAGTACCTGTACATGAAAACTAGAGTGTGCAGCTCAAGTTGGTGCTGTCACGACAAAATTCCCGGGTTGCATCATTTTAGTGACATAGTGTGTACATGTACAAGCAGGATTCAAGCAGACCCCCTACTGCCCAACTGCAGCTCAGGCGCACGTACTTCGCCACTTCCCGCCACTGTCTGTATCAACCCTAATGTAATCCAGGAATTTGATGTGACAAACACCCATACTGAAGCTACACAATCTTGCTTTCATTCAGTCTTGATACCACCAGAGTGTGTGTGTGTGTGTGTGTGTGTGTGTGTGTGTGTGTGTGTGTGTGTGTGTGTGTGTGTGTGTATTGACTGGATTAGAGATCTACTGAGTATCTTGATATCAGCATTGGGGGAGCAGCATCTGAGTGGCGTTGCAGGTGTAGATCACAGACACTGCAGAACATTACTAGTATGCTGTGTAGTATGCGGAGAGCAGGCCACGTGAAATAAAGCCCTTTGATCAGGGCAAGAGTACATAACCCCCCCCCCCCCCCCCCAAGAGTGCAACTCCCACATACCCTGCTGTCCCGGCAGAATTTCAAGTTGACGTCATTATTTATGATGCGATGCTCCTTGCACCAGTGATTTACAACATGTGTACGGGTGTCAAGCATCACACGTTTTTCTTTGTAATAATTTGTACAGCATCAGATGGGCTTTGGTCCACCACAGGCTACGGATTCGTCTGATAATCCGTGTACAGTGCGCATTGCATCATAACAATGACGTCAACTTGAAATTCTGTCGGGACAGCACCCATAGTCGAGTTGCACACTATTGGGGGGTTATACACTCTTGGTCAGGGGGGGGCTAGGTGATTCTTTTAGTCCCGGTGTGTGTGATGTCTCTTTGGTACCCAATCTTTTTTTTGCACAACATTGACTGCATTCCTTTCACGTACGGGCTTTGTAGGAATCCTGACACCATGCGGACTCCCTCAATGTTGTCTCTGTCCTTGTTATAAATGATTTTTTTGCTATGCCGTCTTTGCTTTTCTTGTTCTTAGGAATTCCTCCAGAGTGACCCGACAAAGGCAAAGGAAAAGCTCGGCTGGACATTCACAGTGACGTTGGAAGTAAGTTGGTCATCTTGTTGGGAGATCTAATGTCTGCTGTGCCTGTCTGCAAAGACTGTGTCTTGATGACGTACATAGCCATAGAGCTACCGCATTGCAAGGCCCGCTTCCGAAGTCTAGCCATACTCGAGCCATTCATAATAACTCATCACGTACACATAAATCGAGTGTCAAATCAATTTGAATGTCTCTACTTTGTGAAATGTCATTCATCTAAGCAGTCAGCAGATTCTAGAGACTTAGCCTATGTATCTCCACGGATACTGCACAATCCAGAGAAAGTTAGTGCCTGGATTTGCTGTGTTTAGTGATGAACTTGCTCTGTCCGCACATAACACGTGCACATGATTCTGCGTGGGGGTGGGTGCTCTGTGTGTGCGTGTGCCACGGTGTGTGTGTGTGTGTGTGGTGGGTGCAAAGGGTGGCAGGTCAGAAAACAACGCGAGTGACCTACAGCTCACGTCGAAATTTAGAGGTTTACGCCAAATTGACGGCTCCCAACACTGTGCTTCCGTCCACTGTGTACTGCTCAAAACAGATTTATTCAAACAATACGACATGGAAAGAAGGAAGAAAACCAAAGATACAAGGGATGAAACTCGACGATGAAATGAAAATGAAAATTTGTGGACTAGTTGCGTGCTCTGATTTTTTTATGTGTTGCATTCTCTTTCAATCCTCTCGCAGGAGCTGGTGAAGGAAATGGTACAGTCTGACCTTGAGCTGATGAAGAAGGATCCGCTTGCTTGAGTGGGCAATTCAGCCTATCAACAACGGTATGAGATTAGGATGACAACGTCTAGCAAATTTATTTCATTTTGGCATTACTCTGTAAATTACTGATTTTGTAGCATTTTATGTTGACTTTATCCTCTCTTTTTTTTAGCAGTACCTCTCTATCACACCAAGCCAGGACGGTTTTCGTCGTATTTCTATACAAATATCTTCATTTATTCCAGTCACCTGCACCGAATGTGTGCATGTGATCCTTTAGTCAACATGCTCGGCTTAGGAGAGCATTTGTGTAGGCGCGCGTCCATTGCCTGGCGCGTTCTCTTCCTTTCCTCCTGTCGCATACAGCTGTAAATCATGAGACCACAGTTAGATTGTGATTTTCAAACAACAACAAAAAATCAGCTCAATTATTTAATTTTGATGGGTGTGGTGCTGTGTGCACATGTGTGCGTGCATGAAGGCTTGCACAGCGTGACTATGTCTCCTTGATATACTGTTTCATGCATTGAATGAGAATTGAAACAGAAGTGTAGATGCACAGGTGGGTCTTGATCAGGGTGTGCAGTGGTACTGTAGATACGCAAAATTTCGGCTATATTTAGCACCGACCCAAAATGCCGGAATTGAAACGCCGAAGAAATGTTTCATATCGGCTGTGGTGATGTACTAGCACTGTAAACCCTGCAGCTCGTGCCGGAAATAAATCGCTGATGAAATGTCGAAAACCGTGGAATGCCGAACTTCTCGGCATATTTACAGTACCCCCTTGGCCTTGTCTTGATGCTCGTCTGCATCTCTGACCTTTGACAAACGCCACGGTATTTTACGACTCCCTGGCCTGGCCCTGGACAGTGGTGTGTGGATTCAACAATCTGATGACAAAAGATTATGGTGACTCCCTGATGACGATTGATGTGATCACGTAATGATCTACTGTCTGCTTACTACATACAGTAGTACTGTCAGTAGCTGCTGCTGTAGTTTATCACTCCCTTAGTACAATGTCACAGTAGTATTGACTCACATAGATTTTTGCCATACCTAAGCAGTCAAATATTCCTGCATATTTCACTCCTTAGGGCTACATGTATAATAATAAATGTAGAGCCTCAGGATTTATTGCAATTACATACCAGTATAAAAACCAAGGTCCGCCGAGGTTTTTATAACTGGTATGTAATTGCAGTAAATCCTGAGGCTACTACATTTATTATACATATGTTGACCTTCACTTTCCCTAAAAAGGAGTATTAATTTTTAGAAACAGTATTTATTTATTGGCCCTATGGCCTAGTGCCAGTAGTGGTATTTTATAAACAGTATTTATTGGGTCAAAAGCCAAAAAATACTGTTTATAAAATACCACTAAGGCCAATAAATACTGTTTATAAAATACTCCTTTTTAGGGAAAAGTGGAGTGCTACATGGAAAAGTGCAGTGGTATTTATTGAGTCAAAGCAAATTTATTTGAATTTGATACTGTTGATGGTGTGGTCACTAATGAGTGTGGGTATTTATCAAAGGTCAATATATTGACCGCTTATATTTGACTCCTTTTTAGCGATTGAACACATGCTTTGGTCAGTCGTGATAAATAATCTAATATTGACTTCGTACTTGGTCAGTACAGGAAATAAAAGACCTCGTAAAAGACCTCGGTTTCGCCTCGGCCTATATTGAGAGAGCAGTAGACGAAATTCGAGGCGGACATGGACCGGTCCGTATACCATGTGGACATGCGCTAGGCAGGATGACCATGAAATGACCTGTGCTGTGTGAACAGTTTGGTTATTCGAAGGGAGATTACCTGGCGTACACCATGGTGCATCTACACTACAGCAAGTCATAGTGTAGCTGTAACCTGCCAGTTACCTGGTAACTACTGAGCAGACTCTACTGTAGCACTATTAGCATTATCCTGTCATCCTAGCGATCAAAGCGACTCTCGTAGAAGGTTTTTGTAAACCACGCTGAAAGACTGCTGGGCGGTGGTGGCTTTGTCGAGATTTGACCGTTCCCTAAGGCAGAATGCTCTGTGGCTAGGTGTTTCGTCGAATCATTCATTGGCCATGGAGCTAGAAGTAGAACCACTTTGTCGTCACGTGTAGCTTGAAATACGAGTCGTAGTTAGTTCGCGGTGTGCATATATCTGCAAACACCTACTCCCTAGCGACAGGTAACGTCAGTAGCGATCGATATCGTGATAATGGACCAAGCAGCTGCCCTGGGACTGGGAGAGTCGCGGAAAGTCAAGGAACCGGTGGCGGTAAGTCGGAACAATCGCCATCCGCCGTACCAATACTTCAATAGCATTGCGGGAAGCTGCAATATGTTGCACCATGGTGCACGGTCATGACTGCGACTCCCTGCCCCAGTCCAATGGCAATGCCAAAAATGGTATTATCTGCATGACTGTACAATCTATGCAGATCTACTCTGCGATTATGTAACAGGACCGCTACGCCTGAAGCAGTGTTTGATTGGTCCAGCCATACCATACTAGCCTTTCATACCACAGAGGCAATATGCTTTGGTTCTGCAAGATTGCTCAATCAGCGGCCTGATTCAGGCAGAGCGGCGTGTGTAGCCTTTCATACCGTAGTTTGTGTATGATATAGTGGGCACACATCATGATCTTTCTCCGCAGTTAACATGCACTGGTGGTGGTCAACAAGTTGGTCCGGTGATGAACTGAGCAACCGCACCGGTTCCGACGGGCCTGTGTAATTATGTAATACGGCCATGTAGCCTCCACCATTGTACTGGGGCAGGCAGTCGTAGTTTGGAATGGCACCTAGGCCAGGGAGATCGGCCCGGGCGTTTGGAACATGAAATGATTCGCTCTGCCCCGGGGGAGGGGGGGGGGGGTGCTGGCCATTCAGTCGCCCTTGGGGCAATACCGGCTTAGCGCACTTTTTAGTCTTATACTTATTGCACACTAGTAGTTGCTCTGCCGAGGCCATGTTATGTTTGTGGTTATCAGGGCAAGGGGTGCGATCGTGAGTTGCATGTAGGCCTCGGGCCGCATAGAACTTCAAAGTGGACACGGTTTTGGACGTAATGGTCTCTCCGCCGTCTTCCAAGACGATAATTATACCTCTCCCTGCATGGTCTGCAGCTACTCCATTGTGCGTGGCATGCAGCACTACCAAGAGTCCATAACCCGGTTATGGACTCTTGGTAGTACCCATGGGACTCTTTGCAAGTACCTTGTCCACTTTTACTCATACATGAGAAATACATGACTGTAGTCTTTGGAAATACATGATGTATATAGTAACTCCGTGGCTTGCCTTGTCAAGCCATCACCACCCTCCAAAAAGTCATTCTAAAACAGCGCTGGCATAAGTTGGGACAACCCTCTAAAAGTAGCCCAAAGACATCTGACTTTGGCAATGCCAGCTCAGGGCCGTAGCAGCCGGTCCGGCCAAACTTTTTCACCCGACCACGGTGTTACTGAATTGTTACTACTACTACTAGCTTAATTAACCACCCCTGCATCCAACCCTTGGCATGCTACAACCGACAACCGTTGCAAACTTGGGTGAGAGAATACATACAGTAGATTCAGTATAAAATTGGAAAGAAGATCATCGAAAGAATGAAAAAGGCAGCTGCATCAGCATGCAGCTGCGCATCAAAATCAAATGTAAAGATGGCGACCATGAACGACTGCGACGTGGATAAACTGCAAAACAAACTAGTGCAGCGACACTGACTCGAATGAGTAAAGAAGCGAAGAAGACGAAACGGCAAGGAAAGCGGATCGCTACGATCGCTCAAATGCACTAGCCTAGAGCGTGCATAGCGCATCCAGTCAAACGGTCACGTGATAAGTGCGTACACAAGTCATACGTCATAATAATGCAGTTGACAAAGAAAAGGAAACAAAGCTGAGCGCGAGGCAAACAAATCTGCAGAGCGCGAAAATATAAACACATCGAACGAAGGATTTGTTTGAGAACAAAATGCACAGGCAGACAAAGAAGAAACAGTTCGAAGCTAGAATCAATGTCCGTGTTTCTTAGAATCAATCATGGAGAAAGCTAACTAAGAGTAACTACCTCTGTCACGCAAGACCGGACCTAAACACCTACGAAGTAAGGATTGATGTGTTACGAGAAATACGTGTAGTGAAATAAATTGGTGTGCATTGCATCGTGACACAACTTGCCAAGCTGCATGTACGTGACTGTAAATGTACAAACAACATGCAACGTCGTAGTAAGCACAATCGTAACTCGTGAATTCCGTGTTGTTGACTCAAGGCAAGCAGTACCTCGTGTACACGTTGACAACGACGAACGAATTGATTAGACTCTGATAATAAATACTAATAATATGAAAGAACAACAAAACGTAAATGTCACCTACGATTACACAACACCTCTCCCCCAGGTGAATTTACAAGGAGAGGCGAACAGGGGGGCGAATCGAAGCACGATCGCGCAACCCATAACCATGCTGAACGACAGGAATAGGCCAATCTAGACTGACTAGCGATTCCTCCTCCTCGGGCAACTCAGCAACAACAGGAGCTGGAACAGCAGGCTCACGAACGGGAACAGACTTCAACAGGGCGACATTGACAATCTTGTCTCGACGACCAGGCTTCGAAATACTAACAGTGGAGGGTGAAACAACAGACTGTACAACCCAACCGTCCTCGAAAGCAGACTGACGTTTCTGGTGACGGTCAGGACGCAACAACAGGACACAATCACCAACCTGGTAAGGGCACGGTTGGACGGGCTCGATAAAGTCTGTTCGGGACAAAGCATCATCCACCAAATCTCGAATGCGTGCTGAACGAGCAGACAGGGTATCCACCCAATGACTCGCCGAGTACAGCAATGGCTCGGATGCAATTAACAGATGAGGTGGCTGCCAACCAACCATAGCTTGCATGGGCGACAGACCAGTTGCACTATGGGGGCGATTACGGTAGCAGTACAAGAGCATATCAAGGTCCAACAGCCAATCACCAGTGGACGAATCTAAAACCTTGCGCATCAGCCCGAGCACAGTGCGATTCATGCGCTCCGCAGACCCTTGTGATTGCGGGTGACGCACAGCACCAGTACGAACAGTAACACCCATAACCGAAAACAGGGAAGACACAACGGCATTGCAAAATTCCGTACCATTATCCGTACGAACACAATCTGGTGCACCCCAGACCTGACACATCCGCACAAAAGCAGCAGCAACAGAAGCAGCATCATGGCGCTGTAGCGGAGCAATTTCAACCCACTTGGTGAAAGTGTCAACACACACCAAGACACAATGAAAGGGGGAACCATTACTCGAGCCAAGCTCTAGAACATCTAACACCACCTCACCCCATGGGCGACCAGAAATAGCATGACGCGAAGCAACAGACGGACCACGACGAGGGTTAGCAGCACTGCATTGCAAACACTGAGACACAAAACTCTGACACACAGACGCAAGACCAGGAAAGAAGCAGCACTGACGCAACATATAGTACATCTTCTCCCAAGAGCCATGACCAGACACTTCATGAGCATTAGAAACCACAGCAGAGACTAACGCAGCAGGCACAACAGGAACTATCACAATGCCATCAACAGGCGATTTGACAGACCGATACAATACACCATCATCAAGCAACAACTGCGTACGAACATTACGGTACTCACTGGGTAGTGGCTGATCATGTTGAAGGCCACTGATGACGGACTGTAGCGTAGCGTCATCGGCCTGAGCTGCGGTAATGTCGGTCAAACGAAGTGCACACGGCAGGTGGACACTTGGCGCAGCGGCGACACACTCATCCGGATCAGCAGCAGGCGGCGGCTCAGGAACATCAGGCGGCTGCTCAGCACGCTGCAACAACGACTTGGCACGCTGATTCCACAGGTCCGGAACACGGGTGAGAACGTCGGCACGGTTCTCTGCACTGGGCACCCACTCGATTCGTGCACGTAAACCAGTTACATCGAGTAGATCAGCAAGGACCTGGAGACGCCGTTGAATGAGAACATCATTCAACCCCTTAGTCCGCACTCGCTGGGCATTGGTGAACACTTGGTCCAACCAGGCAGCGACTGTCTTGGAGTCGGTTTTGACCAGCAAATCCCGCACATTCCATGACACTGCAAGCTTGACGCCCTTGATGGCCGCGTCCAACTCAGCCACGTTGATGTGGCGACGATCGCTGACTTGGCGCATCCACGTGCCATCTTCAACCACGGCACCCCCGATCTCCAACGACGCACCGAGGGCAAGGTCCGAAGCATCGCACCACACAGTAGCAGAACTGGTCAGATCCGCATGCCATACACCATGCACTGGATCATGATTGTGGAGCCTTTGCTGCAGGTCAACACATATCTGCAGCAACTCAGGTGACACCGTGTCGTCCCAGCCGCAACTCTCTAGGCACGCCAAACGTTTCGCCATACTGCACGCGGGCCGCAGCCAACCAACGACGGGGTAATGGCTGGTGAGACGCCCACACCACTGAAACACCTTGCGCTTGGTGAGTGGCTCATCAAACGCTGTTTTGACTCCGTCACGGCGGCGCCACTCAGTACGGCCATCTGGCGGCGTTGACAACTGCAAGCCGAGAACACGAGAGGTAGGCATTGGTTCCGCCGGCTTGGTCTCCAGCCCATAGCTAGCCAGGCGCGCAGTCACCGTCTCTGTCAGGGCAACAGGTACACGAACGTCGTCAATATAGTTGTCGACGTCATCAAACTCTCGAGTCACCCAGCGCACAATGATGTCCATAAATTTCGGCGCAATGTTCAGGCCGAATCCCATCCGGGTCATGACGTAGGAGCGACCTCGCCATACCACGACCTGGTAGCGCAGCAGATCAGGGTGAACACGAACTTGAAGGTATGCCTTCTTCAGATCAACCAGGACATAACCATCAGGGCCCTTGACGCGCCACGACCGCAGCGTCTCGGCACATGCTGGGGCGTCTAGACCAGGACTTGAGATCAGTCGTTCGTTCAGTAGCCGGTAGTCCAGACACGGACGGACAGGTGTGCTGGCCTTGTGCGGCTGGCTGACTGCCAACAACGGCAAGACGCATTCCGGAGCACCATGAACAGCCTCATCGTGAGGCACCATCCACCCAGCATCGATCCAGCCCTTGATCTCTGCACCAAACTTGCGCTCTTCTTCGTCTGTCAGTTTGGAGCGGGAATACTCGCCTATCCCGTGGCCGACTGGTGCATGCGGTGGCTTGCCATCTCGCCATTGCCAGTTGAGGGTCCAGCAACGCTGCGTGGCGTCCCAACGTACTGACCCATCGTCGGATGTCAGGATGATGTCGTCCCCGTCGGTCTGACAGCTGACATGCCGCAGTGGAACGTCGGCCACACTAGCTGTCACGTCGGCATGCTGGCCGAGCGTCACGCAGCACAAGCTGCCATCGTCATCGTAGCGCAGGTGCAGACCCCCACACTGTGCAATAGTGTCAGACCCAAGCAGAACATCAGTGCCGACCACAGACAGACTTGGAACGACGAGAACCTCCATGGCGACAGCGGGGATACTGACACAATCATCTTCCCGGACGAACTTCAACAGCGCACTGCCCAGGATACGCAAGGGTTGGCCATCCAGCGCCACCACTGGTTGGCCCGTGTGGGCCGTCACAGGAGTCCCAAGCTGGTCGACAAGTGCTGACGTCACCAACGTCCGGGTAGAACCAGTGTCTATGACGGACCGCACACGGACTCCCGATGCAGTGTCACAGGACACATCAACAAAGACCTTTGGCAATCCCGGCCGTGCCAAATTCGCCATGCACAGGCACCTGTCAGACTGCACTGGCTCTGCAGCTGCTGCCGAGGACTGTGCCAAAGAGGCGAGGAACTTGCGGCTCAACCGACAGTCCCTCTTCATGTGGCCCTCTTGATCGCAAAAGAAGCACATAAGCGGTCTCTGCTCCTTGGACGGAGGGCGTGGCTTCTCATTGCCCCTCTGCTGCCGTCCGCCCTTCTGGTACCGGCGATGTGGACAGTTGCGCTGGACGTGCCCCACCTCATTGCAGTTGAAGCACAACACACTGGATTGGCGAAGTTCCGGAGCAGCAGCGGCAACAGCTCCCGATACACTGGCACGCTTGCGGCAGGAGTCGTCCGTAGATCGCAGAGCACGGACTTTGGCGACGCACTTAGTGACAGTCAGGTCTGACTCCGTGCTCGCCATGCGCACCTGCCGTCCATAGTCCAAGGACAGGCCATCCAACAATTGCTCGAGCAACACCATATCCTTGTCGTCGGCACATGTGTGGCCGGACAGCGCCAATAAGCGCTTCAGGTCGGTGACGTAGGTATCCACGGGCTCATCGTCCCGGAGCGTCCGCGCTTTAAATTGGCGGAACGCATCCGCCGGGGTCATGGTGTAAGCAGACTCCAGGGCCTTCTTTACTGCTGATTCACTGGCCTTGTCAGTATCAGACAACTGCTCAAACAGGTGGAAGGCATCACCATCCAAAAACAATGGCAACGATGCCATGCGGTCGGTTTCCGTCGACAGTTTCTGTAATCGGCACAGAACCAAAAACTTCCTCCAAAACAACTGGAAGTCTTCGCCTTTTCCTTTGAACGCTCTCAAGTAACCATCCATTTTGATGGATGCCATGGTTACACTGCCACTGCACTGGTGTAGCTCAAACCAACACCACAAACACTACAAATACTCAAATTCACTCGACTGCCTCCTGTAGTTCTACACGAGCACTCGACCGGTCCTGAGGCTCTGTTCGATCGGGTTTCGGTACCACTTGTTACTGAATTGTTACTACTACTACTAGCTTAATTAACCACCCCTGCATCCAACCCTTGGCATGCTACAACCGACAACCGTTGCAAACTTGGGTGAGAGAATACATACAGTAGATTCAGTATAAAATTGGAAAGAAGATCATCGAAAGAATGAAAAAGGCAGCTGCATCAGCATGCAGCTGCGCATCAAAATCAAATGTAAAGATGGCGACCATGAACGACTGCGACGTGGATAAACTGCAAAACAAACTAGTGCAGCGACACTGACTCGAATGAGTAAAGAAGCGAAGAAGACGAAACGGCAAGGAAAGCGGATCGCTACGATCGCTCAAATGCACTAGCCTAGAGCGTGCATAGCGCATCCAGTCAAACGGTCACGTGATAAGTGCGTACACAAGTCATACGTCATAATAATGCAGTTGACAAAGAAAAGGAAACAAAGCTGAGCGCGAGGCAAACAAATCTGCAGAGCGCGAAAATATAAACACATCGAACGAAGGATTTGTTTGAGAACAAAATGCACAGGCAGACAAAGAAGAAACAGTTCGAAGCTAGAATCAATGTCCGTGTTTCTTAGAATCAATCATGGAGAAAGCTAACTAAGAGTAACTACCTCTGTCACGCAAGACCGGACCTAAACACCTACGAAGTAAGGATTGATGTGTTACGAGAAATACGTGTAGTGAAATAAATTGGTGTGCATTGCATCGTGACACAACTTGCCAAGCTGCATGTACGTGACTGTAAATGTACAAACAACATGCAACGTCGTAGTAAGCACAATCGTAACTCGTGAATTCCGTGTTGTTGACTCAAGGCAAGCAGTACCTCGTGTACACGTTGACAACGACGAACGAATTGATTAGACTCTGATAATAAATACTAATAATATGAAAGAACAACAAAACGTAAATGTCACCTACGATTACACAACAACGGCTAGAAGTGCCCAAAATGCAGGATGTTGTACCCTAATTTCAAAAATGTCACGGGGAAAGCCCCCCGTACCCCCTTCTGTCGCACCACCTGCAAAGGCGCTGCTACGCGCCTGCAGCTGTTACAAGGGTGGCGGAGCAAGTCCAGTTGGTCTGGCCATGGCCGGACCAACTGCTTGGCCACCAAACCATGTTTACCGGCTGCTGAGGCGGTCATGTGTACCCACCATATCATACACAAACTGTATGAAGGACTACATGTATGGTATGGCTGGACGAAACAATGACTACAGTCAGACCTCGCTTATCCGGTCCTCTTTTGTCCGGATCCCTCGCCATCCGGAAGAAAATAGCTGGTTACAGATTTACAGCATACGTGATGCATCCAACATAACTGGTGTTCGGTTATCCGGTTCCCTCGCCTATCCGGATTTTTTTGTGGAAAACAGATGTGTGCGGTTAAGCGAGGTCTGACTGTACTTCCGTCGGTCCTGTATTAAAGTATGTCTCGGCCGCCAACCAATGCAGATGCATAAAACCTTAGCTAGTAATGGCTGAAAACTGATCTGCTCTGAATCATTGCAAAGCTGGGTCAAGAACAGAGTTTACTCAGTTTAGAAATGTTCTACTGGGACGACCACTGACTCTCATCTTCTCCTGGTATAGCATGTTGGTGTGCATGATGTGCCTCACGACTCTCTCTCTCTCTCTTTGCACTCTTTACAGTACTTGCATGAACTACGGGGACATGCTGGGCCGGTGCGGGATGTGCGGTTCTGCCACAAGGATGAGCATGTGTTGACGGCGTCCGATGATGCCACATTACAACTATGGGTAAGTGAGCATATGCTTCTCCGCCGGTGACTCTGGATGGCACTCATGCCCGGATGAATAGCGATACCCGGGTCAGTACCGCTGCTAGCTGCTCTGGCTAAACAGTCCTTTTCCATGGCACTCTCACAGGACAGTCTTGTAGTTTTATGACAGGAAGACGTATTAGGAATAAGTGAATGAGTTAATAAAAACTCGGATGTTGAGCCAATAGCAATATGTAAAGAGAAAAGGACCTATGACCTATGTATGAGGACCTGAGCCTTCCAAGTTGGAAGTTAGGTTGTTGGTTTGCGCTTCGTCGATGTGTTGGCACTAGGTGTCAGGTCGTCGAATGTCTCAATATCCTTGTCAGTTCGTACTACACCTTGTTTTCGCACTATCTGACTGTATATTATCTCGTTACCTTGGTGGACTGTCATAACTAGTAACTTATAGATCCTTTTCTCTTTACAAATAAGTGAATGAGTGAAGAATAATGAACCGTTAAAGCCTTCTCAAAGCTCCTTGTCAGCAGTGGCAATGAAACATGGGCTACACCGATGCCTGCAGTTTGCCGATGCCGGTGTTCACGCTGCATGTTCTGTTCTGACACCACACAGGACAGGAAGAGCGAGTTCTCAATCAGCACTTTCCATCACACGCAAAACCAGCCGGTCACCGCGTGCGATCTCAACAACGAGCAAGATCGGTGAGTGGAATAGAGGAGTTATGACGTAGATACCAATGTCGCCGGTGTGTTAGTACAAGTGGATCGATGCTTGCCGTTCACCTTCTGCAGAGTGTGAGCCATGCCCTGGCCCTTGACTTCAAAGCAGCATACTAGTATGGGGTGGATATGTTGGATTGAGATAACGTGCCATATGCACAATGTGTATACTCACTGCCTCCACTGAGACTCACCAACACGCCTACTCTGTAGCACCCACCTTCCCATTGTGCTCCGAGTTTCGTCCTTTTAATGTTCTCCCGTTTCCTCTTTTCCGGTGGGGCAGTGTTATTGAAGTAAAACACTAATAATAAATTGTTGTTGTTGTTGTTGCTGCTGCTGTTGCTGTTTTTGCTGCTGCTGCTGATGCTACTGCTATTGCTGTTATTGTTGGCGGATGTTTTTGTAGCATTCTGTCATCATCCTGGGACCAGACACTGCGACTGTGGAGCCTGGAGACAGGAAAAGAAATAGTAAGGATTTTAATGAGCAGGTTGATTTGGTCTCGCATTGTACGCTTGCTTATCATATCTCTAGGAGGCAAGCTACTGTCATCACGTGGCTAACTTCTGCTTACTGAGGTTGCTTACATCTCCATGCTGTGTTTCAGCTCTCACAAAGTACTTGTGAAACCAGGGCCTACACTGGTCTGGGGCAGCTTTCAGTTCGGCCTCAATGTAGAAGCCCCTGTTGTGGATGACCGTGGGCCGCCCTAACAAAGTGTAAGACTCATCATCCACCAATGTAGATAATACAGATATCAGGCTAGGTTTACAGTACGGTCCAGGCCTACACTACAACTGTCTGAACAAGCCAGCGGACATTGGAATTTGGCTTGGCAGAGGGATAGTGACCAAAGCACTGTGCCAATAGGCCAATATGATCCTGACCGAGCGTTGGACGCAGCTGATCCTTAATTGCTAGCGGTCTAGGTCTCTCCAACACCACAGCGGTACTAGATCATGAGCTCTGGGGGAATCTCGCACACTATCGACTTGACAGCAATGCAATACTTGTACAATGTAGTATGGAGAAGAACTGACAAGCAGTGAATACATCATCATTACACAGGCCTGCCGGAACCGGTCCGGTTGGTCAGGTTATTACCGAACCAATTTTGTGGCCACCGACACATGTTTATTGCCAAGGAGGCTATAATTATGTTCCCAATATACCAAACACAATGTATATGCTTTGGTACGACTGGACTAATTGGATACTGCTTCCGGCGGTCACAGTGCTATCAAGTATGTAGAAAATTGGTCTCTGAAAGGGTTGTGAAATTTCGCCATCATTTGATGCGTTTTGTGTTGATTGGCATTACGACTCACAAGCAGTGGTCCGCTTCTGGAGTCGAGCCCAATGCCCTGCATATCGGTGCATTCCTGACGTGCATGGTGCAATATCATGGCTCGGCCTCTGTACAGCCCCCCCCCCCCCCTAACTTGCATGGCCACGTTCTGATAATGTTGTGCGCAGCGTCATGCAGTCAGAGACCCTCTTGTAAGGAAAAATAGCACAATGAATGCTATGTTCTGCTGCTGCTGCCTGGTTGGTGCAACTGTGTCACATGGTTGTTGCATAGGAAACATCCATGAGCCAGTGTGAGTGTGTCATGGGAAGAGAGAAAGAGCTCACTGTGGTATAGCTATTATGCCTGGGCAAGGACTTCAGTGATGCCGGTTACTAGCAGCTGGTAGTGGATCAGCAGAACCATGCATAAACAGCCAGCTCTACTTGCAATACCGCAGAATCCCGCGGATAAGCCCACCCGCGTATAAGCCCATGCTCGCGCATACGCCCAGGGTTAGTTCGAACATCACGAAGCTTCATCGCACAAGCCCATGGGCCTAGGTCTTACCAAGAGTCCATAAATTATGGACTCTTGGTCAGACCATGTAGCAAGAGTATACAACCCCTGGGGATTATTATACTCTTGCATGTACATGTACGTAGTACAGTCATGTACTTTTTTTTGTACATTTCAACACAATCATCGGTCGTTTTTGTTTGCACAGTGGTTTTCAGCAATGTACTTCTCACTTCCTTGGTACTTTTCAATAGCACAATGTTGGTGTCGGCGTATAAGCCCATGCCCGCGTATAAGCCCATGTTCTCGTATAAGCCCACCGAAATGTCCTTGTGAAACAGATAAGCCCATGGGCTTATCCGCGGGATTCTACGGTATAATTATAGTAAGCTACGCTGCCGGAACGAGCACTTGTGCCAGCAGTTGTAAAGATATGATTCCCTGGTCAGAGCTGAGGGCGTGCATATCACAAAAAAACCTGCAATGCTGTCTTCTTTTTGCATCCGAAAACTGCACCAGTATAGAGGTTGTTCAATTGCGTCATCGCTTGAGACTCCTCACACGGAGTCGCGAAACTGTGGCCGTCACAGCACAGGTTTTGGCCGCTCAAATGCACTTGCATGACTTTCACACACATGGACTGCAGTTAAAACTAACTTAGGCGACTTGATTCAGACATGTCACCACATGATCCTTTATCATCATGCACATGCTTCATGACATGATCCGCACGAATCTGGAAGATCTAGTTACAAAGAGAGAGAGAGAGAGCGAGAGAGAGAGAGAGAGAGAGAGAGAGAGAGAGAGAGAGAGAGAGAGAGAGAGAGAGAGAGAGAGAGAGAGAGAGAGAGAGAGAGAGACAGAGAGACAGAGAGACAGAGAGACAGAGAGACAGAGACAGAGAGAGGCAGAGAGAGAGAGAAAGAGAGAGAGAGAAACTGATGATATGGCATACTTTGTAACAGCATGTAACAACCTTGTACCATTCCTGAGCTGGAAAACCATACGTGTTCTTCGAAGTAACATGGTTCTCATGGACTTAACAGTCTTGCCTCCATCCGCATGATTAGCCACCAAAAACAAAACAGGACATAAAATACTATAAATCGAAAACTAGTGAATGCTATGGGTGCATCGAGATAAGTCCGTCACAGATGCAAGTATTTAACAGAGAACGAATATCACCATACGTGTGCACACATGCATGGTGTTGTGTTCATTGTTGTATTACATGTGTTTGGTAATGCACAGACCAAGCTAGTAGCTTGACCACATACTGTGCACATGACCAATGGAAACAATACTCGTTTGAGTGCAATACAAAAACTGTGGCTGTTTCCTTGCTCAGCGCCGTGAGCAAATGATCGGACACAAGCCGGTATGGGACTTCCCACCAGCACTGTTGATAACACGTACAGCCAGTTGGCTGCGATGAGACAGAAGATTGAGCTTTAGTTAGTGCTATTATACCGTTCTGTGCTGAGACCATGCATACACATTTGTCTTTGTCTGGATAATAGTCTTGTTCAGCATTGGCCACCGTTCTTTGCAGCCATAGATAGCATAAGGCAGTGAGGTTTACGTGGGTGCTAAATATGGCAATGCACGCCAATGGAAACAAGAAACCATTCAAAACGGCAACCTGGAGCACCCCTACCCAATCCACACGCGCGCATGTGCATCAACTCACACACACATTGACACGACCGCTATTAGCTCCATGGGTGTCAGCACCCAGGCCGGTCGGTACACACACTTAGGCGGAGAGTCTAGGAGAACGGACAGTTTGGTATCTTGTTGGGCAGCAAGGCCTTGTAGGAAAACTTCCTCTTCTTGTTAACCCTCTCAATGTGCTTGGCAATCTCCTTCAAGTCCTTGCGGAACATCTCCAACAAGTGGTGCGACATTTGATCCACAGAGTGCTCGACATCATAGTCACCCAGGTGCACGACGGTCAGCTTCTGCAGGGTGTCCATGATCAGCAGAGTTTTGGCGATGTACGGTCTTTCCGGGATCATTGCAATCACGTCCGTCTCCTTCAGTTTCTCCTTGGTATCCGGTGGCAGACCACGCAGGAACGACGGGTAGTTGGGCGGCCAGGCGTAGTTCTCATACATTGTGTTATGAGTGGCGCCAAAATGAGCGGTTGCCGTGAAGATAATGTGCGCAAACACGAGCCCGATCTGCAGCGTGTTGGTGAACTTGCCCTCCATCGGCAGTCCGCGCAGGAGCGGCTCGCTCAAACGGCCGTCCGAGATTTCGTGTGCGAAGCTCTGCAGCTCGTGATCGTAGATGAGGTCCTCGGGGCTCGAGTACACACTCTCCACCACCGTGTAGACATAGTTCTTTATGGCGGCGTCGTACAGTAAGCCATCGTCACGATAGTGGTAGTTGGGCAGCGAGCTCGGATCATCAACTCCACGCTCCACGAGATCCTGCTGGAACATGCGGTGCGATACTTTCATACGCCGGTAGTCTCTCTGGATAACGCTGAAGGTTGCGCGGCGTCCCAACGAGAAGTCAAAGTCTATGTAGCCGTCGGTAAGGTTCAGCAGGTAGAACGCGCTGGAGCGGTTTGCGTCGAAGATGTAGCGGATGTGCGGGGCAACGAGCTGGAAGAGGGGATGTGTGGACGAGAAGTTGCGGTGTATGGCCAGAGCAAACGTCTCCAGCACAAAGTTGCAGCGGCTCAGCTTGGCCACGGCCATGTGGTATGCTGCGTCGGCGCTGTTGAACCACATCTTCGCTGCCGTCCATGTCCACGCTGGATCACTGGGCAAGAAGACAGGGCTTCTCGCACCGCCAAGGCTCGGCTCTAGCTGAATTGCAATGGGCATCAGGTCACCTGCTTTGTTGACATAGAAGAGACCGATTGGCTGCACGCATTTGCGTGGTGTGTCATTGTCAACGACCATCATTTCAAAGTTGACGATGTATATCTTCTTTGCTTCTATTGCGGTTTGCAAGGATTGACCCTCCAAGAAACGATCGACCAAGTTGGGCGTGATGGCACAGTTGAACGGGATACCCGTGCAGCGTCTAATGAGAAACGGATTCGGTCCGGAGAGGCGCAGCTGTCCAAAGTATTCATCGCTTCTCCAGTACTTGATACACTTGGGCGCTAGCAGGTAGGGGCTGACGTAGAGTTTGTTTATCTCTTTCCACTTCTTCACCGCAAAGCTGTTGACGTCGTCAAACTTGCAGCGCTTCTTCAGCACGTTGCGATTCTCTTCGATTTTGCACACTCCGTAGTGATCATGGAATGTGGATCGGTACGGCAAAGCGTGCGCCATTGGCATCATGCCTTGTGCCGGCGCAGAGTACACCAGACCCCGCCGCTTGTGCTCGATCTCTTGGGCGCGCTGCAATGGCCAGGGCTCCGCTTGCGGCAGGCACGAGTGCCGGTTGAGGATCTGCAGAGGCGACGCATGTCCCACGTAGCGGTGCACGGGAAATACGCCGTCTTTAAACGAGCGCTTCAGGTATTTGATGGTGACCATGTCACAAAACCAGCTGATGTCCGACGAGTCCGGATTCCATTTTTCACGCTGCAGCTCAAGTGTGGTGATTTCTCCGAAATTGGGATCATCAATGGCCCCAAGAAACAAGACTTCCTCGTCGCCAGACTTGAATCTTGTGGGAACCCAGTGCATAGTGAATCTTGTTGTGATTTTGCGGTTTCCATCGTCAATGAAGGACAGAATGATCCCATGTCCTGGACCAAAGTGGAGGACGCGCCCGCTTTTCACATTGATCTTCAAGCTAGCGTTGGGTGGCGGTGGTGTGGCTTGAATCACTTGATGATGGTGAGCGTTTCCCATTCTGTACTTGCACGTGCACGCACACGTGCATACACACACATACATGTACACACACGTGAACATACACACACGTGAACACACACACACGTGAACACACACACACGTGAACACACACACACACGGGCCGGTGAACATACACGTGAACACACACACGTGAACACACACACATACACACACGTACACACGCATGCAAAAGCACACAGACAAACGCGACTCAGTACTGATCCATGACCCCCTCCCCATCAATACAGACAAGCACAGGGTCATTTGCACACTTGCCTTGTCAGTCGTGATACTTATGCGTGCTTGTCCATGCATCGTTACCAATCAGATGATAAATGCAACGAAGCAACAATTTAGGATACTGTGAGTGTGAGTGTGGTATAGGGATAGTACTACAGTGCATTTCAAAACTATAGACGCGTAGGGTTTTTGAAATATTTCAAATTTGGCTGGAGCTTTTTGAGAATAGTTTTCGGAATATTGCTCAGGATCGCTCCACAATTACTCTCATATAGTTTCTAAAGGATTGGATAACAGACGCCCAATTTGGAAAAATTTATGCACAAAGTGATCACAGATTTTATGTGGTATAGATGCTGGCATAACGGTTTTTGCCTAGGTACGCGTCTATAGTTTTGAAATGGACTGTAGTAGTAGTACTGGGCATAGTCATGCATGATTACCAATAACTGTACTCTGTAGTGACCCTGTAAGCGCCTGGCCCTGGGTCAAACGATGTAGATCTACACGAACCTGATGTTCAAGAAACTCGGGTAGCGCTGTTGACGAGTGCTGCTGCTGCTGTTGGCTGAGCGTTGCTTCAGCCCCCGGTTCTGCAGCGGGATCAGCAGTCAGCGAGCAGCACGCTGCAAGTAGCAGTTAGTTACCACTGCCACTGGTTTGGCGAGTTGGGCAGGTCCGACACACGTACACACAGCATGTTCGGTCACTCTGCCCGCGCCAGTCTTCGGAATTTCCGTCCAGCCGGCTAGCGCGACGATGAAGAACCACAAAGCTATCACAAGACTTCGGTTACTTACTACTGTACAGTCATGCACATCTACACTCGAGTACTCGAATTGAAGAATGTAGATTCTACTGCATTCTTAAATTCTGTAACATGCGATGCATGCATGCAGACAGACTCTCAGTAGATCGACACGGAAACCGAAATCTGCAGATATCACGCCTGATGATGTTCTACGACGCTATTTTTACGTGGCGTCAGCGAGATCGTTCTGCTAAAGTGATTGGATGTACGTAGTGTTACCCGAGTAAACCCGAGTACATGGTGCTAATCGCTCCTAGATCCTGAGCTGAGGCCGTCGAGGCCTCCCTGGCCTTGTCAACTAATTTAGCGCCGTTCGGATTGAGAGTTCCTTTGCCATCCATACCACACCAGGCTTCGATTGAGGATGAGATCGATCGATTCGTCACAACGAGCTGAGTAAAAATTAATCACGTCTGCGTCATGTAGGATCTGCTACTGACTGTCTGTGTTGATGCTGCTGCCGTGCTGGGTGAGAATGGCAGGAGAACCATCGTCATCGATGGAATGATTATGTAACTGCTGCGTAGGTGCAAGGAGAATCGCGAGCAAGTCACGTCTTCCCGATCCCAACCGTATGTTTCGCAACCACGGTCAGCTGAGCAGGCGTGGACCGCAAACATCTGTACGAGCTGCTTCTTTCACTTTCAGTGGTGCCAGTTCAGTTGAAATCCAACCCTGCTTGTACCTGTGATCCGGAGGTGCGCAGTGGATTTTTACCTGGCAAGTGGCGCATGGCATGCACCACTACTGGCACTAACTTACTAGCATGACTGATTGTGAAGATCAGAGTGAGTTGTGTGGCCGTCACGGCGTCAGCGTTGATCATGATGATCATTTCGTGTTGTCCTCGCACAGCAGTGCGTGCAGTACAGGCTGACCGTTACTTAGCATTAGTTTGAATACTAGTATTTAGTAATGATCTCTACTTCGAAGACTAACACGGAAATAGGTGTATAGAGAGACGGTACCACCGGACAGTCCGACTGTAGCAGCAGTTAGTTGAACAGCACGGATGTTCTAGCTTGCAGAGGCTGGCTGCTCTCTCGACTGAGCTGCAATGGCAGAAGGAAGGAAGCACGCTGCTTGGCCCGTGCCCTTGCCTCCAGAATTCAAGAACACTAGTACAAAGTAGTAGTAGGACTTCCATGGGATGAAGGAGTACCAAAGCATGGGCGCGTGTTTGGAAGTTAGGCTTCGTGGTTTCAGTTTCTTGGTTATGAATCTGTCCTGTGGTCTTGCATAAGTTCCGATTCCATGTGTACATGTATGTGTGTAATCCATTCCCCTTTTGGCAGACCTCATGCTCACGTCACTGATAGTCCACACCCTATAAGCAGTCCACATGGGAACGTCATTCATAGTTCACATGCCAGTGAATGTGGACCATGAATGATTGTCCCACACGCAGTTAACGTACCAAATTTATTTGAAATCTCTGCCCAGTTGGCAGTCCACATGGTTATTAAATTATGTCATGAGAAGTCCGCAAGCACTCTGTGTGCAGCCCACATGCCAGTGCCTACTCCCATCCCATAGGCACTTCACTTGCCAGCGCCATTTATAGTTGTACCCCTTTGGTAGCCCACATGTCATTAGGTAGTGGTCCATGCCCCATAGGCAGTCCATTATACCTTTCGCCTTGTTACTTTAAGTCATATCAGCATGAAAAAGGTTTTTGGTCTCCCTTGCCGTACACCGACTGTCTTTGTTTTGCGGCACGCTAAGTTATACTTCCTCGAATTTCGTCTCTTTAAAAGGCTTTTTATTTTTGTTTTCCGCTGTATTCATAAGCTTACAAGTCCTCTTCTTTCCTCAATGTTCACCCTCCAGTCGGCTGCTACTTGCACCGAGAGCCGCACTAGAGGGCAATCATTCTCTTCACTTTCTTTGCCCGCTGCTACCACTAGATATTGCATGTTCTCTATTTCTTTCCTTGTCGCTGATAGGTGGAATTCTCTGCCTGTCTCGTGTCGTCAGGTTGAGCATCTATCCGTTTTTGTTTCGCTCTGTAAAGAGCACTTAGGGTTCCCTGTAACAAGACGGCAACGTCTGTAGGGCCTTCCCTATCAAAATAATAAATTCTACTACTACTACATGTACTTCTACTACCTACCCCATTGGTTATCCACCCCATATGCAGTCCGCATGCCATACACTGTACATGTATAGGCAGTCGACATGACCATGCCACGGGTAGTTCAAACCATAGACAGTCCAACGCCATAGGTAGTCCATCCCATAGGCAGTCCACCCATAGGCAGTCCACCCTTAGATAGTCCACCCCATAAGTAGTCAACCCCATAGGTAGTCCACCCCCATAGGTAGTCCACCCCATAGGTAATCCACCCTATATGTAGTCCACCCCATAAGTAGTCAACCCCATAGGAAGTCGACCCCATAGGAAGTCCACCCCATAAGTAGTCTACCCCGTATATAGTCCATCCCATAAGTAGTCAACCCCCATAGGTAGTCCACCCCATAAGTAGTCAACTCCCATCGGTAGTCCACCCCATAGGTAGTCTACCCCATATGTAGTCAACCCCATAGGTAGTCAACCCCATAGGTAGTCCACCCCATAGGCAGTCCACCCCATAGGTAATCCACTCCATAAGTATTCAACCCCATAGGAAGTCCACCACATAGGTAGTCTACCCCATGAGTAGTCTACCCCATAATATATAGTCCACCCTATACTATAGTGCATTTCAAAACTATAGACGCGTAGGGTTTTTGAAATATTTCAAATTTGGCTGGAACTTTTTGAGAATAGTTTTCGGAATATTGCTCAGGATCGCTCCACAATTACTCTCATATAGTTTCTAAAGGATTGGATAACAGACGCCCAATTTGGAAAAATTTATGCACAAAGTGATCACAGATTTTATGTGGTATAGATGCTGGCATAACGGTTTTTGCCTAGGTACGCGTCTATAGTTTTGAAATGGACTGTATATAGTCCACCCTATACTATAGGTAGTCCACATCATACAATGTAGGTAGTCCACTGACATGGGTAGTCTACCATCATAGGTAGTCTACCGCCATGGCTAGTCAAAATGCCCATGCAAATGCATGGTAGTTCATAGGTAGTCCACATGTCCGCAGCGCCATTGGTAGTCACTAGTCACTGCCCATTGCCATTTGCAGTCCTCTGTTACTGAAATTCAACAAGCATATTGCATGAATCGGTTTCAAGAAATTACCGGCACTACCGAGTGATTTGACTATATACTGTATGCATGTGAATAGGATACAGGACGTTGTATGCAGAGCTCACTGACTTGTCAGTGCGAGCACTCTGGCACGGTACGTTTTCGGGCCTGGTTTAAATCTGGCTTTGGAAATATTATTTTTCATTGCTATCAGGTTCGGCCTCATTTTCTCTGTGCTGCGCTGATGAGTCCACAAAGGAGGAACAGTTATGTCCGCAGATTGAATACATGGCATTGTACTAAAGTTCTAGTACATGTTGCATACTAGAAAAGTATATTGGCATAGACCATTGTGCACCCCATCAGCCTGCAACTACCAGTACTCATGGCTATAACTCTGTTGCTGCGTGGTGTTATTCCCTATTTATCAATGTGACTGCACAGCTCTGCTTGTGGTGCATTGGTATCATTTTATTTATGCTGTATGACTATCTAGTCAAGTGTGTGGGCTACGGTTTGGGAGGGAAATCACTCTCAATTGAGTTTGGCATATTTCTGTCTGATTTATCGGGTACTCAATCGAAGTATCTGTGGAGCAACAACCCAGAAAAGATGGTCTCCGATATCTTATTTTCTGTGATCTGAACTTGCCAGTACTCAAAACTGTCAAATGGCTACACATGATTTCTGTTGTTCTTGTTCTTATTTTCATCCAGTGGGGAGCAGAGCATGACTGTCTTCTGACTGGCTGCACACTGGAGCACAGTAGTGACGTGCCACTGGCACTCAGCTCTGGTGACAACCGCACCGTGTACATGTGGGATACGGGTAGGAAACCGAACAGCCCGGTGCATGCCTTTACAGGTGAGAGACCCGGTGACGTACGTCTGAGGCACATCAACTGTATTCCACTGTATACGTATTGCCATTGCAGATCCATTGGAGAATCAGACTTCATCTAGCTATCATGTACATGCATTTGAATTTTATACTCTGAGATGGCTAAAGTACATGTAGGGGGCATCCGTAGGGGAAGGGGAGGGGGGGGAGGAGGGGGGGGGGGGGGGGGAGGGGAGGGGAAGGATGAGTAAGCCCGAATACTATTATTAGTACAGTTGACCCCCTCTGGTTAGGCAACACACCCCAACTACATGTGCCTACTGTGCGCGTCACGGTGTATGTGTATGTGTATGTGTATGTACAAGTTGCTATGGCTTCTGCCGTAGCATTGCTATCATCGCCTCCGGTGATGGGCGTCAAAGGTCAGGTCAGGTATGTGTATGTCCGTGACTGTGTATGTATGTGTGTGTGTGTGTGTGCACGCATGTGTTCACGTGTTGCAATGGCCACAGGTCATACCAACACGGTGACGTCATGCCAGATGAATGCCGAGCGCAACATTGTCGTATCCACCTCTATGGACCAAACCACTGCTATATGGGATATGCGTATGCCTCACCGACTCCTCATCAGCCTCAAGTATGTGATGGATTGTATGGAATGGAGTCACACTTTTGTTCCTGAAAATTGGATGTACAAGCCACCGCGTGCATTCAGTACAAACAGATGTGAACTTTCTTCCCAGAGTGGGCTTAGCTCTGATACATGGATGATTTTGGGTATTAAATGTACCATATAGCGTAATGAGTAGATTCGAGAAGAGCATTTTGGCTTCATGGGCTTGCTTATCGTTAACATGTCCAGCCATGCCGGTGTTCGACAGTTTGTATACAGTGTACTATAGGGATGACAGGCCAAAGTGACTGTCCAATCCAGTTTCGCTTCGCTACAGAAGGCAAGGCTGAACGGTCTACATCAGGGGCATTGGCAACTTCGCTTGTCAGACCTGGATGACTGTCCCGCTCTGACCATCATCGGACTGTGTTGTTGGCACTGAATCGGTGTGGGTGTGTTTCTTTCTGAATGTGAACCCTACATGGCCGTGGGTCTTGCAGGGACCACATCAACGCTGTGTGCAGTTGTCACATGACCAGGTGCGGCCGCTTCTTAGTGACGTCCGGTTATGACAGGGTGTGTTACGTCTATGACATCGCCACCGGTATGTACAGGTGAGTACCGGAATCGTCATGGATACTTCTTGCTCTTGGGCCTTTGCTGTCCAGCTGCCAATATTTTACCTGGTCAGGGATTTGGCTTTCTTCGGCATGTCACTGCTGTATGCAAGTGTGCATGTGTGTATGTGTACAGTGTATACATGCTATGTAGATGCTTTGTATCACGGTGGCATGGGTTTGGTGGCAAAGCGTTGGTAGTCTTCATCAATACACCAGCTGGCTGGCAGTTAACGATATTCTGAGGGGCATGTGTATGATAGATGAGTATGCTTGGACTGTACTGTGGAATCATCCCTACGGCGTATTTAGTAACGCATAACCTCCTCGCCACACCATGCGTATGTGTGCCCTTTGCACGTGTTGATTTCTCTTTACACTGTCGTTGAATCCATTGTGCACAGGAAAACTGGACCAGCATCACTGGCCATCCACGAAGGTTGCATAGGTTGTTGTCGCTACAGTCCGAACAGTAAGAGAGTGGATTGGTTACTGGTGGTGTCTTCAGGCCCCATGTGGACTCAAAACAAACTACACCTGTACATTACGTCTCACCGTATCCATAGTAAACCGCAATGATAAGCTAACTGTGCACCCGTAACGAATTCTGACTGAAAATGGAGGAGGTGTTAGATGTGTGAAGACCTTGGCGGTGAAGATGAAGGTGTTGGGGGTGAAAGCGTTGGACATGAAGACTGAAGGTGTGTGTGTGTGTGGGGGGGGGGGGGGGTTGAAGGAGATGTTAGAGGGCTTGAAGAATACATAGAACCACAAATCCAAGTTCTCTTTTTTTCCTTCATCTTGCTAGCAAGACCTTGTAAGTATTTAAAAAGCCTTACTCCCATATAGGTATGTTCTCTCTAGGTGGTGTGTTTGGTACTATGATGCTGCTAGAGGCGATTTAAAAAGACTACTTATTGTGATCAGGGTAAAGCAAGCATCTTTGTCAGTATATGATTTTTTGCGCACGCGCAAAAATATGTTAACACAGAAGGCGCATGCTCTGTTCCCAACAAACTCTCACACGCTCATTGTTCTCCGAAGTCCACTGTTCCTGACTTCAGTTCTTGCTTTGTCCGCATTGGCAGTGGATTTCTTTCTCAACCCACCCACCCACTCCACTATTGTCATCATCATGTTTCCTATTCTAGTTCTCTCCTGTCGGTATCCATTATCATACCGGCCTACAATAACTACACCGATGCCGTCTACCGGCGAAACTCTGTAAATACATGGAGGGGAGTCAACCTTGCTTACCAGGCTCCTCATACGGCTCATTCAGCCTCTCACACTCAGACGGCTCACTCAGCCTCGGCTCACTCAGCCTCTCAATACGGCTCACTCAGCCTCCGCAGCCGGGCCCTGCCCGGCTGCCTCCATACGGCTCACTCAGCCTCCGCAGCAGGGCCCTGCCCAGCTGCCATACACACACATTCACACAGCTCTAAGCTGTCACTCACTCGGAGCCTGGCAAAGCAATTGACAAACCCTCCTATTCCCCAAACTGGTTGCTCGTTGTGTGAGTGCGGCATGCAGATGCTTGTGTTAAGACTAATTTAAATGCTGCTCTGTGTCTTTGTCAGTATGACTAATTTAAATGCTGCTCTGTGTGCCTTGTTTCATTCGCAGGCAAGTACATTGTCACATGTGGCTACGATAACTTGTTTGCCGTGTGGAGTACAACCGACTATGGCATGTACTACAAGTTGAAGGTAAGGCACCAGTTTCAGAATACAACGTGCACCGTCACATGCACGCAAGCGCCCTCCTCCCATACGCACGCACATACCAGCACATGATTTCCACACCAATGTTTGAAAGCGTAGCAGTTAGATATTGATCTCCGAATCAACGAATGACAATAATTAACATCCCCTCCTCTCCCCCCCCCTCACTCTCCCCCCCCCCCCCTCACTCTCCCCCCCCCCCCCCTCACTCTCCCCCCTCTCCCCTCTCCCCCTCTCCCCTCTCCCCTCTCCCCTCTCCCCTCTCCCCTCTCCCCTCTCCCCTCTCCCCTCTCCCCTCTCCCCTCTCCCCTCCCTATTAATGAAGCATATACTTGTACTATGATTGGTGTTGGTCTTCTCTCAAACATACCACCATTGCTGCCACCACTGCCACTACCGCCTATGATGGTGGCAACGTGAATACCGTAACTCTTGTTGGTCTTGTCCACAGAACGGACACGATGACTGGATACTGGCAGCCGATTTCTCGGATGAAGAAGACTGGCTAGCGACTGCATCAAGGGTGAGACAGCATGCCTACAGTTCACTAATGTATCCTGGGTATACACTGCATGCATGTACATCACTTGTACAGTAAAACCTGTTTTTGCCGGACCCTGTACCAAGCGGAATCCTGTATCAGTGACGGGACAAATTTCTATGCACCACAGTTCAAGTGCTGTGGATCGAACGTGCATCCCTGGGATCAAGCAGAATCCTGTCCTATCAGGACAGTTTCCGCTGCACCTAGGCCAGGGTGTCCGGTCAGGGCAGGTTTTACTGTACGCGTACCTGCACTAAACTATACAGTCTTTGAGCGTGTTCACGTGGATTTTGCAGAATTCAACAACCAGCAGTATCTCGTCATCGTGGATGCATACTCTAAGTGGATCGACGCATACAAGCTTGGATCCACTGCCACTACTCAGCAGACGATTGACAGTTTGGTAACATTTATCGCAACGTTTGGTATACCCAAGACCCTCGTGAGTGACAATGGTCCTCAATTTACATCACACCAGTTCCAGCGTTTCTGCCGTGAGAGTGGTATTGTTCACAAGTGTACACCGCCGTACCACCCAGCTAGTAACGGACAAGTCGAACGCATTGTCCAGGAGTTGAAGCGTGCTCTGAAGTCCCGTCCTTCGGATGTGTCTGAGAAGACCCAGATGCACCGTTTCTTGTTTATGTATCGTAACACGCCCCATTCATCAACGAATGTGTCCCCAGCTAGTCTGCTCTTCAGGAAATTACCGAGCACCAAGTTGGCACGCTTAAAGCCCAACTTAGCAGCTGCACAGCGTGAACGTCAAGCACGGCCACAGCCAGGTCAAGGTCGTCATTTCGTGGTGGAGGACACTGTACTTGTATTGAACACTCGCAACGGCAGCGGGCCTAAGTGGCTACCTGGCGTTATTGTACAGAAGCTAGGTCCGGTCTCGTACATTGTTCGCATTGGTCAGCAGGAAAGACATGTCCATGTAGATCATCTCCGTCATCGTTCTACAGCGCCGCCTGATGCTGTTCTTCCTCGCAGTGATGTTGGCACACCGGTTTTGATTCAACCTGATAGTGCATTGCAGCCGTCAGTACCAGACGCTGCCAACGAGTCCGAACCGTCTGCACTTCCCAGTCCGTCTGCAGACCCTGTTGCACCGCGCCGATCAGCCCGTGCACCGAAGTCACCATCTAGGCTTATTAATGAGATGTGACTGCTTTACTGCTACCTTTACGCTATGGCTGTTATTTGAATATTGATCATAATAATTATCTCCGCTTTACTATTGCTTCTCTTAAGGGGGAGGATTGTTATGTTTGTATGTGCGCGTAAGCACGCTAGGCTCTGCGCATGTTTGCTTGCACGCTATGCTCTGCGCATGCGCACTCCAGTTCAGACTTCCTGTGTCTGAGTAGTTCTTCTTTCTATCTCCCTGCTTTGCACGTCCATTATTCTCTTTGTAAATAATCCTAATACATTCCACAACTGTGTGTTCTTGTGAGTGGGAATGTAACACACTCCACTGTGGTTGCTTTTTTAGAGTTAGCATATGAATCATGCATGTGCATCATGCATGTGCTGCGGTGGCGTACCGGTACGGATCTCTGGAGTGAGACACATCTGTCATCAGTACAGCACTAGTAACGGATGGATCACCCGCTCCCCGTGCCCTAAAATCTATATAGAGTGGTAGAACTTGTATTCGCTGTCGATGTTTGTCATAGTCACCGAGTTGGTGGACATCTGCAGTCTTACACTGCAGTGGATAGTTCATTGCATTACTATTGGAGGTGTTCTGTGTAAAAGTGACATCATAACGTGCGCATACATGGTTTGGGCGCAATGAGATACTTCGCCCTTGCTTGCTCCAGAATGTCTAGCTAAGGGTAGGACATATAAAAAGACGCGACAGGCACGTGCATTGCACACATTGTGCACTCTACACCTCACAATGCACTTTTGGCATTGGGTGACTATACCCGGGTATCCAAGGATGAGCTCCAGCTGAATATCGGGGCAAAACTGCCACGTGTCTGGGGGGGGGGGGGGGTCAAAACCAGCTTTTCAATTCAATATCATCTTGGTGATGACACGGTGCAAGTTGGTTTGAGTTGACCGAGAGTGGGTGCAGCATTGTTTTCTTGATCTGCCTGTGCTATTATATTTGTGCATGTGCGCTATGTAGGATGGTTCTGTGAGGATCTGGACTGCAAACACACCACCCACTGAGACATATACCGACCCGCGCAAGATGCTCGGCCTGAACATTGACAAGGTATGTGACGTACTATACCATACGTATCTTACCACTACTTGCTACTGGTACCAGCTCAGTTCAATCAGACCTCGCATATCCGGTCCTTTTTTATCCGGATCCCTCGCCATCCGGAAGAAAATCGTTGGTTACCGATTTACAGCCGATATGCCATGCATACATACAGTATGTGTGTTCGATTATCCGGTTGCCTCGCCTATCCGGATATTTTGTGCAAAACGGCCTGGATGTGTGCGGTTAAGCGAGGTCTGACTATACGACATTGTGCTGGCCATAAACAGATACTCTCATCCTGGGAGTATGTAGCCGGTCCAGTTACAGAATGAACTGAAGAGAGCCAGCCGCATTAACTAAAACACCGCTTTCTGAACCACCGTGCCATCTCAGATAACATTTGGTGCTAAATTTGGACGACACAACGTCGGTGCTCGGTGAGATATCATCATTGGGCGTTGCATGAATATATGCTCATGTGCCCTGCAGGAGAGCATTCCCTCTCATCACCGGGTGTGCATCATGTGAAAGATCTGATATACCAGTCTAATTGCAACTTAGCACCAAGGTAGCAAAAATGCCAATGCAAGTCATCCCCAAACACCCTAGCCGGCCCGTAACTCACTTGGCCTCACCAGTAATTTGCTCACTGTTTGGGTTGTTACTTCAAGGCTTGGTCATCGACTACACAGTACACCACAGTGTGCCTTATCTGTTAGCCAAAATGCATGGGCTAACCGGTGCACACTGGAACAGGTTTTATAGCCTGCATTGATGCATGTTAAACATACTCACTGCATTGAATGACCAGCTGAAACATGGGTACTTGTGCATCTTCCGCGTGTGTGTTTCCTGTTGTGGTAGTGCATCCGGTGTGGACGAGACTTCTCCGCCGTCAACGGTGCAGGCAGAGGATCGGCGCCAGCAGCGAACGCTGGTGGCAAACAGGAGGCGCCCGGCTGGTGCGTCATCTGCAGGCTCAAGCACCCGTCGCGTGCGTTTGGTAACCTGGAGCACGAGGAAACGATGGCGCGTAGTAAGGAGCGGAAACGATCAGCGCCGAAAAGTGCACGTTCAGTAAAATCATGACCACTTGAAGTGTACATGGCACAACCGAAGATCAACTTCAAATGACCGGGCAGCGTGACATTCAAACGTAATGGATATGTTGGGAAGTGCATCATGACGGAATGGAGGAATGGTACTAACTTAAGCGACAACCACTCAGGGTGGATCATGTTCTCGTTACACTATTGGTGATACGGTACCAATTGATGGTGGTGATAGCGCCGAGCCTTCATTGAGACAGTCTTTGATCAAATGTACTCTGCCGCCTGCACGCACATTGTGTAGACACGTGGAGATTCAACGTGTTCAGGCCCTTCGTCGGCTGTGTTTGTGTGTGACAGCACACGTGCAGCTTTAAACTTGATTGGTTCGTTGTCTGGCAAGCGTGCTCAAACGGGCTGCGCTGAGCAGTGGCCTACACGACGACGGTCCCGGGTGTGCTACAACAATGTAAAGTTACAATGCACACTGTGACGTGTACAGTACACACTGACACCGGATTCATAAACATGTCCAGTGCACGCTGATACGCTCATCATGGACATGTTACAGTTACGTACGGTGTGTGTACCGGCAGCAGTGACATGGCATGGCCATGTACAGTGCACATTGCCACCACCGCAGAATCACTATGAAGCCACAGTGTATTGGATCACCTGCAGAGCTCAACCCGCATTCTCTTCAGCCGATAGTCTGGAGAAGATGTTATACACATTACTAGTACTAGTGTCACTCAAGTACAATGCACTGCAGTACTGTTCTATACTGGTAGATACTGAGCACTATCTGAATTGTAGCTGCTGAGAAGCTCTGTGTGTGCGTGTGTGTGACGGTGTGTGTGTGTGTGTGTGTGTGTGTGTGTGTGTGTGTGTGCGTGCGCGCGCGTGCATGAGTGCATGATGTGTGTTGAAATGTGATTGTCATATCTGTATGGATACGAGCATACATGTACATGAACGCGCATCTCCTGGTATAGGTAAACCTTGTTTGATGGCATGTTACACTGAGCGGCGGAGGATGTACTGTGTTGAAAACAGTTCAAATGGTCGCAAGACTGGGGCTCTACCAACCAATGATGGTTGTAGTCAGGAGCACTGTTTTTTCAACATGCCTGCATCCTACACCTTGTAACATGCTGTCAACCGATTCATGTTGATGATCAACATGACATTTGTACAGTCATGTACTAATACATGATTGTATGTATGCACTGACACCAACAGTAATCTTGCTAATACTGACCACCAGTAACTTCGAGTCACTCCTAATCTGTCTGGGTCACCCAGTGGAGGTTATGCGATGCGTCGTCACACTGAGTCATTTGAGATGCCCTTGTATGGATTGAGGCTGTGGTGCACGCTTAGTGTTGGTTTGCAATACAAATACTTCGCGACTAGAACTGTTTGTACTTCAAGTTCAAAGCATGGCAGTTTGCCACCCACTACAGATACAATACAAAGCTAGCACTGATTTCCATGTCATGCCGCATTTCATAGAAAGCCCTGGCCTTCACTTCTTCGCTTGATGGTAGTGGTCTTCTCAGACAGGTGGTCGCCTTATCAGAGTGGTCGCTTTGACAGGTTGCATTGTAGATACATTCTCATGTACAGACAGTACAATCATGTTGTTTATCTAACACCATACATGTAGACGTCTACATGTATGCGCTGACCTCATTCGCATACAGGTACGTGACAGGTACGTGACCCCACTCCAGACAGAACTACTTACTTACTTACTTCAGAAGCCACCATTGCACCAAGCTGCAAACCTGCTTCAACTATTAGTATTACTAATGAATCGTAATGATTAGTATTAGTATTACAATGATTACTTCAAGGACTTAGGTGACCCGGGGGGAGGGGCCCCGGGGGCGACTCTTGGCGTGGGTCACCATGGTCTCGTACATGTACAGTACGTCGTGTCAGGCTAGGCCAGGCCGCGCCCGGCGCTTCGCGCCTGCCGCGACGTGTGCGTGCTAGCGTGCATAGCTAGCGTGTAGATACAGTGTAGATCTACCCCGGGTACCAACCCGTAACCGCGGGTACCGGGTGCGCGTGCGCACGTGCGAGACATATGCATGACATCGTGGCATAGTATGCAGGACTTGTGAAAAAAAAGAAAAAAGAAGAAAAAAGCTGTGCGTTCATGATATGTACGCAGTGTACGGCATGACATCATGATATCAACAAAACTCGAAAATCACACCAGTCGGCAGTCGACTAGTCGAGCGCATGTGTCGTTTGTCACTTTGTGAACAATTGCCATGTAGCTTGCAAGAAACTTTTTACTTACTAGTATCGCAGCAAATCAAGCAGGGAGTGTCTGAATCTGAAGTAACAACTTGAATTATAGTGAGTATTTGCTAGTGGTTGAAGACATGGCGGAAGCGAAGGAGACAGAAGAGTCAACGAAAGGCTCGATTCCAGAGGTAAGGAGACGTGTAATTTTGATCTTTCATTGACAAAATATTTTTAGTGAAGTTCAGAAACAAACCAAGACCTTGATTCCACAACAGAATTTTAGTCGTAATACAAATTGTAATGATTGTTCAGATATCTGATACGTGAGTGTTCGTTGGACACGTGAAGTTTTCTGCTTGCTTTGCAGAGGTTCGGGCTTGATGTGTTAGTATGTTACACCTCAGATCGTTCTAATACAGTACCGGTCCTGTATATGGCACAACACTTGAATGCCAGGACGTAGTCTGATAGAAGCTGATATGGCTCGTGTACTTTCTCGCGGATAGTACACAGCGCTGATGTGAAGTGCCACTATACTGCATGTACATGCCATGGTAGCAACATTTTGTCCCTTGTATGTGGTGGACCTAATAGATGATATGCCAAATAACGTGCAACTAGACTTGAGAGGGCATTGCAGAGTAGCTGCATACAAAGTTCAAAGTTGTACGGTTACCTGTGACTTGCATTCCTGCAGAGCTAGAGCTCAGGGACTACCATGTACACATTGTAGTATAGTTTGTATGCAACTTGTGTGCGATGCCCTCTCAAGTCTAGTTGCACGTTATTTGGCATATCGTCTATTGGCCAAGCCAGTGTAGATAAGTCGCCATGTCAGCCAGTGGCTCAGTATTGCGTGTTTGGTGAAATTTGGCGATTTACAGGTGAAACTACTTATTGCTGAGGGTGACACACAAGCAGCGGTCGTGGAGCTGCACTAGAGATGAAGTGTTTCAGAGCACACAGTACTGTGTACATTCTTGCACGTTTGTACACACACACACACACACACACACACACACACACACACACACACACACACACACACACACACACACACGCACGCACATGCATGCATACATGCACAACTTAAATTTATCTGTTTGTTGTCCTTTCCCTGTACGCTTGCCCTCAGGTGGAGGAAGATTTGGTGCTTATGGAAACCACGCCATCCCGAAAGAAGCGGAAACATGTAAGCTGACCATTTCAGAATGCTGTCTTTCTCTCTCCCTGTTCTCATAGCAACCATGAAGATATAATGAAGCTTATAGAAAAGAAAAAGGACCAAGGAACTACAAGTTACGCTATAATGTCCACTAACACCACCAGTTACTAGACAATCAGCTCATGCGATAACATTGCATGACATTATGGACATTATAGCGTAACTTGTAGTTCCTTGATCCTTTTTCTTTTCTATACATTTTTCCTTGGCTCTCCATCCTAGTTCATATAATGAAGCGGTAGCTAATATCAAAGATGGATTGGCAATGGTTGCAGAGGGTTACGCAGCAGACTCAGTTTTATGCATGCGTGTGCGTTAGGGGTGAAACGAATATACCGAATGTTCGAATATTCGTTCGGTTTAACACATTCGAACGAATATTTCTTATGGCGAATATTCGTTAACCCGGTATGCAGAATCAACCGGGCGACTTCAAACTTTCGTAACTTTGTGAATACTTGACCGAATCGCTTCATTGAAAGATCTATCGGCATTAGCAAACTCCCAGCTGTTGTTTAGAGGCCACCCGAACGCAGTCTGAGGTCCTGGAGGGGAGGTATGGCGCTCGAACGAAAATCACGTCTCAAGCGCTGTTTTTGAGCCTGTGAAAGGCACTTCAGCTGGGGATTTTTGTGAAAAATGACCTAGAAATGGAGAAATAATTATAATGCCTTCGTTCGTCATGCCTAATGATAGTGACAATATCCGAAAAAAATGACTGAGAGGAGGGCATGTGATGTCATCCGTGTTAAAGAAAGAATATTCGTTCGTTCGTTCGTTAAGCCGAAGAATATTCGGCTACTGGGTTTTGATATTCGTTTCACCACTAGTGTGCGTACATGCGTCCTTCTAGAATTCGACTCAGATCGTGTGCTGTTCGCTTACAGCCTACCTGTTTGTGTGCAAAATGTGTGCACATACATTGCCGTATCCTTGGAAGGCGCTAGCAGCCACTGGCCTGCAGCACCCTAGAGCCTTGCCTGGAGCAAATCAATGTTGTATTGCTACCGGGCAGCGAAAGTGGCTACTATAATCTATCTTGTTGCGGTACTAACAACAAAGGAGAGGAGATGAGCACTGCCCTCACTGTGTGTCTCAGTGAAACGAGTCTTGAGCACCCTCTGCCCCTGCAGTTGGAATTGGTATTAGGTTGCCTTTACCTCACTGCAACACCTGCACCGATTTTTAAATGCTTAAAAGCATGGATCCATCTCATCCAGTACCACAGATCGAGTACCTGAATGAACGTAGGTTGTGTTTCTCTGCGCATTTGTAAGCGGTGGCAATTCGGATGTGCGGACTTTACTTACTTTTCTAATGAACGTACAGTCTCTCATTCGTCTTACTCTTCTCCTTCCTCTGTTCCACCTTTCCAGGATGCAGCAGGCTCAGATGGAGATGCTGCCACTAGAGACACGTCGAAGCGCCTGAGTGGCGATACGGTGAGTTGATGCTGCAGAGTAACGCTAGTGATGAGGGTGATTGAGTTGCTCAGAATGTATGGGTGTGTTGTGTAGCGAGCGATCCTGTGCTCTGCAAGTGAACCGTTGCAGCAATGCCATATCTTGCTGGTAGAGGGTGCAGCTAGACTGATGGCGTGGGAAGAGTACTAGTACATGTACATGTATCTGGTTGTTGTGCTCAAGCAACACGGCTTGGGCTGAGTGTTAGAAATCAATTTTTTGTTGGCATGAGTGGTAGAAATCATGGCCTTTTGCGCTGTAGTGTGAGTGCTTGTATGTGTATGATTAGTGTATGATTATAAATTGTTTATAATTCTGCTTTTGTGTGTGGCTGTGTGTCCATGCAGTTTCTGGGTCAGAACGAGATACGCAAAGTGCCCGTGCCACCCCACCGTTACACCCCTCTCAAGGACAGCTGGATGAAGATCTTCACACCAGTGGTGGATCATCTGCATCTGCAGATTCGATTTAACCTGAACACAAGGAACGTGGAGCTCAGGGTAAGGGTTTGTAGGTGGTGTGCACGTGTAATTGACAAGTCAACGGTGTATTCTTGTTAGGGCTGAGTCGGGTAGCATTTTCTTCGGGTATCGGGTCCGGGTAGTTTTCCACGGGTAGCACGGGTACCTGATCGGGTAATATTTCCATGGTAACACCACAATGCACACCGGCCCCTTCCCTTGCGCATTGGGTAGACATGCGTGAATTATTTGTACACGTGCACTGTCCATGATGTCATCTGCGACCTCGGGTTTTCGGGTACTATTCGGTACCCGACTACCCGAGGTCCTCACGGGTAGCACGGGTACCCGACTACCCGTGCACACCACTAATACTTGTAGCATGGGATGCCTGTAATTGTGATCTAATTCGCATTGTTTGTGTCACCCTGTACAACTACAAGCCTCACTGGGCACATTGTGCAGCATTGCTGCTTTCTGCCATCTAATCATGCTATCTCTCCAGTCACTCACTGAACGTGCACAATCATGTAAACACTGTCTCCGATTTGCACGTTTCATGTTTGTGGAAGCCAAAGCTTGTTATGTGGTGTGATGTGATGGTGGAGTTGGCGTGTATTCCGTCCACAGCCACTCAGCTTAACTCTTGCTGTGTCCTTTGCAATATTTCCGCGCTGCAGAGTTCAGCGAAAACGAAAGACATCGGTGCTATTCAGAAAGGAGCAGATTTCGTCCGCGCATTCATGCTTGGCTTTGACGTTGAAGTAAGTGGCTCGCAGGACCCTAGTTTCTGTTCTCCTATTCTTCTTGTGTGATAGACTGCATGGTGCTGGGAATGGATATTTGTGTTGTGCAGTGAACGTGTTCGTTTATTACTTGTTTGTGCTGTGTTTGGTGTCTTCGCTACTTCGGGGCCATTTTACAACGACAAAACTGGCTATGTTGGGAAAGTGGAAGGTGCTAAAAATGGAGTGTTAGAACTTCTGCTTACCTGTCTTCTGGTTCTGCTCATGCGCGTGTGTGTGTGTGTGTGTGTGTGTGTGTGTGTGTGTGTGTGTGTGTGATTGTGTATATGTGCGTGTGCATGTGTATATGTGCGTGTGTATGTGCATGTTTGTTTGTGGATTGACTCCAGGATGCGCTGGCTCTGGTTCGGTTAGACGACCTGTTCTTGGACTCGTTCGACATTGAGGATGGTAAGTTATGAAAGAAGATTTTTTAGTAAGCTTGACATCAGGACAACTAAGCAGATAGCCACCGGAACTGATACAATCATCTGTTCTGAGCATACCCTGCACAGTGGTTTTCTCTGTTATTCTGCTATCCACTTGTGAGATGACGTGTGTTGCTGTGGTGTGTTGCGCTGTGTATGCTACAGTCAAGCCACTGAAAGGCGATCACTTGTCACGTGCCATTGGACGTATTGCCGGCAAGGGAGGCAAGACCAAGTTCACCATCGAGAATGTCACCAAGACGAGAATCACACTGGCTGACAGGTAAGTTGCTGTTGGTACTGCTGCTGCTGATGGTGGTGGTGCTGCTGCTGCTGATGATGATGGTGCTGCTGCTGCTGCTGCTGGTGGCGGTGCTGCTGCTGCTAGTGCTGGTAGCGGTGGTGGTGCTGCTGCTGGTGCTGCTGCTGCTGCTGCTGCTGCTGCAGCTGCTGTATCCAGAGAAGCTCTGCTCAGTAAAATCCAATACCATCAGTAAGTTAGCAGCTTGCACCTGTGTACAGCCCAGTGTCCACAGATCTGGGGCTGTACACAGTGCCTGGGGTGACACTGACTTCACGGGTTGAATTTCTTTGAGCACTGTGGCAGTCTGCTTTAGGAGTGTTAGAAGTGACACCTATCAATGAGATGTGCATTGTGCTTCATTGGCTGGGCCATCTTCAGTGCATTGTGTACTTGTAAATGAATCTCATTATTGGCTGTTGCCTATGCACACAAAGGTACAACAGAGAAATGTCAGGGCTCACCACGACCATACAAAATTCAAAAAGCGTCGACCACCATTTTGAATGCCGCCAAAGCCAGAGTTTGTGCAGTCATAGCGGCTACGCACCCGAGTTCATGCTCATCGATGTACAGCGATGTACAGTCTAGTCGTAAAATACCGGTATTTTACGACTTCCTGGGCTACTCTGTACAGCGAAGGGCCAGTGCCGAAGGGAATCTTGTTGTTTGATGTCGAGAAAGACACGCGGAGAAGACGTCCTTTCTCCAAGCAATCTTGGTCATTTTTCTCAATCCGCTGGTGGGTGTCGACCAAGATATGTCCGTGGGGTACTGGTGAGCTTGAGTCCTGGCATCTACAAGAATTTGCCGCGCCTAGCTAACCAATGTTGTCAGTAGAACTCAGCGTTTCCTGATCGCGACTCGGCACACTCTTTTCTGTTTGGCCTCGCAGTCACAAATGAATCCCTTAGTCATGACCGTTATTGACGCTTTGTATGGTCGTGGTGAGCCCTGAATGTATTTGAATCTGAATTTCGCACTAAATTTGTGGTCATCAGACAGCAGCAATCTGATCTGATCAGTTCTAATATGTACTAGTACTTTCATTGTCTTGTTGCTGTGCGTTTTTGATGTGTATCTTTGACATTCTTTGTGTTCTTCTGTGCATTTTCTGCAGTAAAATACATATTCTGGGATCGTATCAAAACATCCAGATGGCACGTAGATCCGTTTGTAATCTAATCATGGGTAAGGGCCCGGTTTCAGCTGGCTGCAGATTGAGAGGATACGAGTTTTCCACTGGCTTTTGTGTGGAGGCGATGCGAATGACATTATCGTATAGACCATGCGAAGCAGGGAGTAGTAAAATGCCAGCTCTTGTGGTGACGCTCCATACAGACCACCTCTAATGATGATAACCTCAGAGGCTCTATTGAGAATGTCTAATGGCAAGATATGACTGTGTTGCTGGCCTGTAGTCAGTCCTTTTTAAAAAAGTACTAAAGAAGTGAGTTTTGAAACTGAGCCGATTTCAACTTGCTGTCGGGTCAAGTTGTTGGGATATGGGATCATCTGAGGGTCCCTATGCTTCTCGTTTTTCTCAAGTTTTCCTTGCGCCACCCTGCCAATGTTGCTGGTGTGATTTTGTAGCAGGGTTTACTCACCAGTTGTGTGTTGCACTGCTGGTGGGTGTGTTTGTGTTCTGGATGTATTCTGCCTTCCGATACCTTTCACTCCCTCCAGCATTCGTTTTGTCTGTGTGGCTGTTGCTCGCCCTAGCTAAGTCTTTGCTTCTTGTGGTGCTTGTGTTTCCTCGTCGACTGCAGGGAGCGCACCAAGCAAGGTGTACGGCAGCATGCGTGCCATGGCCAGCCGCTCGGCGGAACGATTCTAACCTGCCTACTGTTCCTCCCCCCCCCCCCCCCTCTAGTGTTGGAATACAGTGTTATGGTTGGCTGTGTGGAACATGTACACTCTGTAGAAGCATGGCACCACACGATTGACCTCCCGCTCCCCTCTTCCTCCTGTACATAGCCCCTCTGTACATAGTCACACCTCATATGTACATATGACCCATAGCTGGCATAAGCGATTAGCTAATATAATTATTTTTTCATAATGTAGTGCAGTGTTGTATGCGTGTTGCTGGCGGCTGGAGCCAGTGCTGCCTTCCTCAGATGGTGTGACTGAATGGAAGAAAAGTCTGCTAGGGTAGTTGAACCAATTGGCCAATTCCCCAATACCAGCAAATCTACAATTGTTATGATTGTACACGAGCGTACTTCCCATCTGTGTATTGTTGGTGATTGCTGACTGTCAGAGTGTCTTCTACTGTATATGCAGTGCTGTACATCAACTTGATTTTCATAGCAGACTCAGCTTGATTTGTCGTATTTTTTGGGAGCCGGTCTTGTTACCGCCGGTCTGAAATAAGCACCACCTCGTTTCAGTTCTTCTGCTCTCTTTGTGCGTGTTTTTTTATAGAAATAATTGGGTGAAATTTTGGGGCTCACCAACTACAAAATTAATAATATAATTATCAGGAGCCCCTATAGACTGTGACATGTACTGGTACATGACAACATGTACATTGACATTGTGAATTTGTCATGTTACTACAATTCCGGGCTCATTGTGACATTGATGAAAAAGGCGAAGGGCACTCAGTACTACAGTAGGCTATTAGCAAGAGTATAATTATAACTATAATTATACTCTTGCCATTAGTCATGCTTGCATTTGCAGCCACAATTGTAGGTTGCTTCGCAGCTGCCTGCTTTTGCCAGTCCGCCAGCGCCACATACAGTACAAGGACGGTGCATGGAAAAACCACGAAAGAATGCCAGAAGTAAAAGAAGCACCGTCTTGCTAGTGACAGTACTGTCAGTGCAGGACAGTAGTGTCAAGAGGTTTATGACACTCTTGGTAGTGACTGTGTTGGTAGACCAGGCAGACTACTCAAATCAAGAACAGACACAGATAAGATCGGTAGTACTGTACTGTAATAGTGCAGTGCCGGTGCAGTGGTAGATCATTGACATTGTCGACATTGGCATAATCATTGTACGAGGTGCAAATCATAATGTGAAAAATCTCCTCTTTATTTCATGACGCACGCAGATTGTACGCATGACGTAAGCTTTGATTTCAAACAGCACAGCGTGCAGAAATGAACTGGAAACAAAGCACCAAATCTGTGTTCATTTTTTACTTGTCATGACCAGCACTGGCAGCAGGAAGCAGAAGTCAACCAGTTTGTGTTTCGCCAACCTTAGACAGGTCTTGTTTGGCTTCTGCATTGCATGAGCGAAGAAAACTCACGTTTGTGAGTAGTTGCCTTCTATTCATCCGCTTCGCTCCTCACTTGTTGTTCATTTGAAAGTCGACATCCTCGGAACTGGAGGAGAATACCGAATTTTCTGAGGAGATTTTTCACATTTGCACCAAGTTGTTGTCTATTGCATTCCAGGAAACGGCGAGTAGTCGAAATGTTTTACGTGTTTTATGTGAACCTGGGGAAATGGATGGACCAAATTGTGGTGGACATTCTCACTTTCAGGTACTTGCTGAAGATGCCTGCAAATACACTGTAAGCTTGCATCTGGAAATACATATTTTCTACTTCTCTGTGTTGCGCCTGTTGCAGTTTGCTCGAGTTGAAGCGTTCCATTGCTGATGAACTGGATGTGAGAGAAAGCAGCTTGATGCTGTTCACGAAGGAAGGAGAGTTCCTGAAGGGCGATGATCTAGTTGCTACGTTCGGCGTGGGTGGGGTAAGGGCTCTGCTGTTATCCATGCTGCGTGCACCAATAGTGTTATGTAATCTTGGTGAAAGAGACATGCGTTTGAATTGCAGTGCTTCTCAACATCATCTCTGAAAATATCAGTGTGGTGCATGTACACAGTTTCTGGAGATGACACTTGAAATACCGTCCTGGTGCCAGGTAATAAAGTAACTGAGTTTTTTTTTCTTCAGATTGGCATTGTACTTTAAATACAGTAAAACCTGGTGTAAGCGACCTCTGGTTTTAGCGACCACCTGCTCTTAACGACCGTTTTTCCATGCACCGACAGCTCTACACTTAACCTGTTTAACCTGGTTCTAAAGACCACCTGGCTTTAACAGCCGCTTTTGCTTGCACCGTGGTATGGCCGCTTAAACCAGGTTTTACTGTACCCACACAACAGCTCGAGTCTAGGTACTGTATGTGTACTGGTGCTGGTAGTATTCAGTGTCTGCTTGAGAGCTGGGTCAGCGACCCGGTTGGGGGGGGGGGGGGGGTACTTGAACCCGTTTGGAAAAAGAACACCGGGTCACCTGTGACCCGGTTGGGAATACAATGTACATCAGGGAGCCCGAAAGTATTTACAACTCCCTGATCATAGGCTGATGTACATGCAGTAGCCGCACTTGAACGTACACGGCTCTGACCCGGTTGCAATGGTTGTGCCAGGTACACATGTACCCGGCTGGTTTGAAATCCTAGAGCAGACACTGCTATTGGCTCTGCACAACAATCATAGCACTCTTTTTGGGGGGGGGGGGGGGGGGGGGGTGGGGGGGGTCAGTTCGTGCTGGAGGCAAAAGACATCATGATTGTACTTCTGCAGGGTGATTGTTTTTTGGCACAATGGCTCATGGCTGAGATCATGGTGATGCGCTATGATCCAGCACGTGTACAGTCGCAGTCTGCCGAATCGTCCGATTTGTTGGACAGTGTCCAAAGATGGAAAGTCGATGAGGAAACATTGATCTAAGAATCGCAATGAATAGTACCAAGAGTCCATAAACAAGAGTATGCAACTGTGATCTCTTTTCTATGGGCCAGATGCACGGCCTGCCTTCATTACATCATTTTGCGGAAAATCAAACACCACACTTTCTCTCCGGTTTGAAATGAACTTTAGTACGGAACTGGAGTTCACGCACCAGAATTTAGAGATCCCGTAGGTACTGGAAGGAATCGAGCAAAACCGGATGGAAATTGTGAGTTGGAGTGCATGCTTTCAGAGCGTGATGGAGGTAAGTTACATAATGAAGGGACCCATAACCACAGTTGCACACTCTTGTTTATGCACTCTTGATAGTACAAAATGTGCAGCCGTTATGAACATGCATATACGCGTATCATCCGTGGAACGGTTTGGTTTTTCTGAGAACATTTTCTTGTTTTCTTTCACTCTTCAGTCAGATTACGCGTTCTCAGGTAAACCGAACCGTTCCACTGATGATGTGTGTATATGCATGCTCGTACTGACTGCGCATTTGGTACTACAGTAAAACCTGGTGTAAGCGACCTCTGGGTTTAGCGACCACCTGCTCTTAACGACCGTTTTTCCATGCACCGACGGTTCTACACAGACACTGTGGGACCTGGTTCTAAAGACCACCTGGCTTTAACGATCGCTTTTGCTTGCACCGTGGGGTGGTCGCTTAATTAAACCAGGTTTTACTGTATTCAATGTCCAAAGAAGCGAACAATCGTTGATCTGGTCACAGTGTCCTTTGGTGACAAGTGTACAGTATTGGCTGTAGGAATAAGTGTTGTTGTTGTTGTTGTTGTTGTTGTTGTTGTTGTCGTCGTTGTCGTTGTTGTCGTGGCCGTTGTCATCATCGGCGCTGCCGTTCTTGCTGCTACTGCTTTGCCATCGTAGCCTAACAGTCCTGTTTTCGTGCTGAACCAGGCTGACCTGGAGTTAGCCAAATCACCACAGTCAATCATTGACAAAGAGGCCGCCAGTGAGTACCGTGCATATATTGTCTGTCTGTGTGCCAATCACTTAGGGCGCGTTCGAATTGTCTTCATCAACTCTTCTAACAAATTTTATAAAGAGATTAGTTGAAGTCTCCCATTAGAACGGTTTCTATCATTTTAGAGTTTTTCAGTGGAATTGTCATGGCGATGATGACGTCCGATCAGATCGACCATCTCCACGTACTACGTGACGTAGCTATTCCAAACTCTTCGAAACTAATCCACCTTCCCATCGGATGAGTTTCGCGGAGTTTCGAGGAGCTTCGTTTTTCTGAAGAGGCCAATAAGGCCACCTCTTCAGAAAAACGAAGCTCCTCGAAAAGTCAAAGAGTGACAATTCGAACGCGCCCTAAGTCACCAGTCTCTACCTACATGTACTAAGTCACCAGTCTCTACCTACATGTATCTCTTTTTCTTGTGTGCTGCTTATTGCTGCTCTTGCTCATACACAATAGCGTCTGCACTGGCTTTAGTGTACACCTGTCACAGGTGTCACAGGGCAGTGAGGAGTGGTACAACCAGGATACGAGGGGAAGGTCCCATGGGGGGGGGGGGGGGGATCGGATTTTTTCGCCCAACAGGGCATGTTTTAGCACTGTACAGGCACTCTGGGCGGACCATCCTAGACGAAAAGTGATACTACCATGGTCATACTGGTCGTACCGTGTGTGACGCCTCTGCCTGTCATTCCTCCCTCTTCCCTACATCCAGCCACCCTCTGTGCATCCATCCTTCTATCCAGCCAACCACTGTCCATCCACCCTGTCTCCATCCACAATCCATCCATCCTTTTGTTTATTCAACCCCTTTCACACTACACTTTCATTTTTTCTTCTAGAATGTAGCACCTATGTACATGTATCTACTGTACAACACATGTATTTTAATATTATGTGATCTATTTCCTGTCTGTATTGTGAAAAAATTGACTCCAATTCACTATCACTCTATTGGAGGGATTTGCTGAGGCGCAAACCTGATACAACTGGTGTGTGTGTGTTTTCTTAGGGTTACTGGAAGGCCTGGAAGAGCACTTCCGAATGGCCATTGACATGCCACCATCATTGGATGCCCTCAAGAAGAGACTTGCGCTCGTCAGAGTAGGTATCTGTTTGTGTGTTTATGTGTGTGTGTGTGTGTGTGTGTGTGTGTGTGTGTGTGTGTGTGTGTATGTGTGTGTGTATGTGTGTGTGTGTGTGTTGCATGCGTGTGTGTGTTCTTGCATGCGTGTGTGTGTATGTGTGTTCTTGCATGCATGTGTGTGTGTATGTGTGTGTGTGTGTGTGTGTTCTTGCATGCGTGCGTGCGTATCACGGCTGTTCAAGCGAGGCCAACTTATCGCAATGGCGGACCAAAAACCTGGATCCATGAAAAATCTGCTACATCTACGTCACAAATCTCTATGGAAACTCCAGAGCAGGCGGACAATTTCGAACTTCCTCGGTCATTTTTGTACTGATTGACTTTTGTAGATGTGTGGCCGATTTTTAGTTGATACTGTATAAGCAGAAATATTCGTCTGGAATTTAATTTCGTCTTTTTCGTCCAAGGAGCTGTTGGACTAAACGAGAGAGCTTGGAAGCTCAGGGCCCTACGCTATGATTTTTTGCTTGCTCATCATGCATGTAAACGTGTCAAAGCTGTGTGGACCCTGGCTAGCGCCAAACGATACTGAAGTAACGGCTGTTGCATAGCTATGGGATTAATATTTGGTGTTTATTATTTATTTTTTTGTGTCACGCCTGGCGCTATCCCGTATTTGTCCCGTACCGTACCGTAGCATCAAAGACAGCTGGCCACAAACAGCTGGCCACAATATTTTTGTTTGTTTGTGCCATCGGCATGCCTGGCGCTATCCTGTGATGTCTCGTTTCTGCCGATCACGGGCGTTCTGGAGTCGCCGGGATGTCTGTCCTGACGTTTCCTGTGACCGGTGTGACTCTGCCGATCACGGGCGTTCTGGAGTCGACGGGATGTCTGTCCTGCCGTTTCCTGTGACCGGCGCTGACTCGCCCGTTCAGGATTATTTTGGAGACGACGGGATCTCTCTTCCAAAGTATGTTTTTGCTGACGCATCCTATCACCTATTCGGCAACTAACGTCCGTTCTAATTGCATTTCCTCGTCTCCCTACTTCGTATTTCTTTCCAGTAAATCTCCCTATACAGCAGGGAGTCGTTTACATAATACGACTCCCTGCTATATATCTGTATACGTTATAATTATTATGCTATCGGCCCACATGCGGTTCCCGGGCTGGTAGACAGGCGGCCCAGCCAGCCTGCTAGTGGGATCTCGGCCTCGCACACAAATCCACACAAAATGTTACTGCACTATTGGCCTTAATGCATTCCCCGATACACTTCGCATAATTATATACTCATTCTCTTGATGGTACCGTACTCTTGATGGTACGGGACAGGTACGGGATAGCGCCAGGCATGCCGATGGTATAAACAAACAAAAAATATTGTGGCCAGCTGTCTTTGCTGGTACAGTACGGTACGGGACAGATACGGGATAGCGCCAGGCGTGACACAAACAAACAAACACCAAATTAAAGCTGTGTGGACCCTGGCTAGCGTCAGACGTTACTGAAGTAACGTCTTCTGCATAGCTACGGGAATTAAATGTAGGACTAATGTCGATTTGCCCAGCTTTTCTATACACTCTTATGATCCATGGACGAAATTTTCAACCGGACGAACTCCTTTTCTTTGGAGTTGGACGAAATTATTGACCGGCGAAGTTTTCTGCCTCTACAGTAGTTGGATTGAGAGAAATTCGAATTCCCCAATATGTTTTCCCTTATCTGTTCTGTCTGGACACTTTTTTGACTACGTTAGCCCAATTGCGAATTTCAACAACTGTTTTTAGTTATTGAATGTTTTGGATAGTATAACCGCCTTTCCGTTTCCGTGGGACGCCACTACCCCATGATCAGGCGTCAGATGCGGCTCCTAAACGGTGAGACAAGGGGTACTAAAATACACGGTGCAAAGACACAATAACGGATGTTAAATTATCGGTAACTTGCAAGGACTCTTGCAAGGAGGGGTGTCAATAAACAACTTTTAAAGCTGTTTATTGACACCCGTCCTAAAGGAGATATAATATTTTATTATTATTTACAAAGTGGTTGCTGTGTAGTCTAAATATATACAAAGCTTCTAAGTTAACGCCTTCAAATGAATGGGACAACTTCTTCCATGTCAATGGCAACATCCAGTACCACATGCTGCTTGGGGAGGCCTGTATGCCCCAAAACATCCTTTTCCTCGCTGGACAACCACCCTGCACCACCTTACAAGTTACATGACATACAGGAGATAGTTTCCAGGTCCTTTAGTCATGTGTGAGCAACCCTACAGAGAGAGAGAGAGAGAGAGGGGGGAGGGAATAGCAGCAGTGGGCAATACCTTCAGAGGTGGATAAAATTGACAATTGCGTGCAGGTTGGCATGATGCCATGGGAAAATTGGGTGAGAGCTGGGGTGGAAGACGGCTAGTACTATGTGCAAATGTCTATCTCCATCTATCTATCTAGATACATGTTGGTGCCACATGTTTCCCTCCTTGATCTCTGGACCTGTGAACTCACACCCGTTCCCCTCCTTGTTTATCTCGCCTAGTTTCAGCGTTAGCTCGTGTGCATTCCCTCTGGTACCCACTGGTATATAGGTAGCTCTTGAGTCTTGACTGAGCTCAGCATCAGTTGTCAGATGAGTGCATGAAACCAGTTGCAACAACGAATAAGTTTGTAACTCTGTAATTCATCAGTACCTGCGTGTTGTGTACAAAGTAACTGTGTGGTTGGTTTGGTGCTTGTGTGTGTGTGTGTGTGTGTGTGTGTGTGCATCGCTGTCCTGTGTCCACGGATGTCCCCACTATATCTATTCGCCATGAATCTGACTCTTTTCGATGTGATGTTTGTCGCCGCTCTTTCCGCTCTCGTTCTGGTTTGAGCCGTCATCACTGTGACCGTGCGAAACGGATGTCACGTGCAGCCAGGAACAACTGCCGTCATGAATGCGAGCATTGCGAAAGACGGTTCTCAAGGCCACAGGACTTGCAACGCCATGCCAAATATTGTTGACTTTGCGATTTCTCTCTCTTCTCTTCTCTCTTCTTGTCGTTGTCTCCCGTTTCTGGGAGCGGCGTGGCCCGATAGGGTAGCTGTACATAGTAGTAGTAGTAGTAGTAGTAGTGTGTGTGTGTGTGTGTGTGTGTTTTCTACTGCTTTAGAATTGCCTTACTCATGGCAACGACGTTAATTCTGCTCTTCTGCGCATGTTACAAGAGCACTTGATGCAGCAGACGGGCCTCGAGGCTCTCTGTCGCAGTGTGCAGCCCCTGAGAGAGTAAGTTGCAGTGTGAGCTTTCTCTCTCTTTCCCTCTCTCTCTCTCTCTCTCTCTCTCTCTCTCTCTCCTCTCTCTCTCTCTCTCTCTCTCTCTCTCTCTCTCTCTCTCTCTCTCTCTCTCTCTCTCTCTCTCTCTCTCTCTCTCTCTCTCTCTCTCTCTCTCTCTCTCTCTCTCTCTCTCTCTCTCTCTCTCTCTCTCTCTCTCTCTCTTCTCTCTCTCTCTCTCTCTCTCTCTCTCTCTCTCTCTCTCTCTCTCTCTCTCTCTCTCTCTCTCTCTCTCTCTCTCTCTCTCTCTCTCTCTCTCTCTCTCTCTCTCTCTCTCTCTCTCTCTCTCTCTCTCTCTATTCATTCTTCATTGCATCCGACATCACGGAATTGTGCGAATGTGTATGTCCTACTTTCTATGCTAGGAGTCTGGAAGAGCGACTAAAGGATGGCTTTGCTCGCCGTGACGCACTGCTTTCCAAATCTGATGAGCACTCGGCACTGCTGGAGAACTTCCCCGATGTCCTGGAGACGCTGTCGCAGCTGAGCTTGCCCGGTGGCGTACACGAGTGCCTCACGGCCAGTCGCAGATATCTGGCTGGTAGCTGTGACAGTGTTACTTCAGCCATGGGATACAGCCGAGGTGGTGTGGCGGCAGCAGCAGCACCGGAAGGTGCAGCGCCGATTAGCGATCCCACAGTTCTGCCACCGTTGCTTCATTGCTCGACTGGATACATGCGCAGGTCAGTCATATCCGTGTCTCAAACGGCTGGAGCATTGTACAATCTCCCAGTTTCATACACTTGACTGTGCACTACATTGTAAACTGCACTACACATGCTAGACGCCGCAGCTCCAATGCATGCACTGTGCTGCTTACATCCTGCAAGTTACCCATCGTCGGTGGAGCAGCCTTGCTGATTCGGCTGCTGCTAGCACTATTCTCCTCTGCTTGTAGCCTGGTGGTCATCAGGAGTCCTGTCGTGGACCAGCAGATTCAAGGCCACTCTGATCGAAGCAGTTGACCAGAGAGTGTGGGGATTGCATGATCAGGATACCTGCAGTCACTGTAGTGGGCGATGGCACATACATGTACAGGATTAACCCACTTTTTCTACAATTGCCACCACTTTCTATGTATGTGTTTGTATGTAGCTGGGGGATTCCCCTCCTTCAGTGTGCTATAGCCTATAGCTAAATGGCCGTTCAATGGACAGTTCCTTGTGTTGTCTGATGATCAGGTAACAAGCGCAAAGCTCACAGTTACCAACTTTGTTTCATTTTCTGGCTACATGTACATGCTTGCACTTGCTGTAGTGCATGTAAAATATGCTGGGTTTGATCTACTCACCTCCCACCGCTTTAGGAGCTGCATCTGCACCTTGATCCTTGACAGTGGTGCTGTAGTATTAATTTACTATGGATGCGCCCGAGTCCCACGCGGACCATGACATTTAATTCAATTTACTTTGACCTGGCTAGTGGTGGCTTTGTCTGTAGCACACTTGGCTACTTAGGGCGATAAGCCAGTGTGGTCTTTGTGGTGTTGTGAGCTGTGTTTGTGTTGCGTGCTGTTCTGTGTGTGTGTGTGTGTGTGTGTGTGTGTGTGTGTGTGTGTGTGTGTGTGTGTGTGTGTGTGTGTGTGCAGAGCCCTGTGCATAGTTTGAAGGACTTCTGCGCGGAGTGTCAGGTTTCCCTGTCCAAGGTGGGTGCAGCATGGGTATGATATTGTGCGAAGAGACAGTGTGACTGTGTCTCTGTCTCCGTGGCTCGTTTTCGGGAATGTCTCCCTTACTGGGAAAGTTGATTATGCCTTCGGAAGGGCTTGGTTCCATGCCCCGGAGCATTGGACGGCTCGCTGCTTCTGGCGGCGGTATTCGGTGTTCTTCTAACACAGTGAACTCTGTACATTGCTTGTATGGCAAATCAGTGGTGGTGAGGGCCGGAACAGCTGAGCATAAGTTCAACTTTTCAGCCCAGCCTCTACACCGTTGCCGGTACAGCTGTGAAATCTGAACGCGAGCGTATGCGCCAGTGAACGGCAGTGACACTAGATAGGTCAAGTGTGGATGGTGTGCTAGGGATGTTGACGAGGAAGTCAGGCACTGGCGCAGGCTGCACTGTGCACCTTGTACTGTTGTGGACATGGAAATCCAGTCGATTGACCAGGGCCGGCACCCTCAGCGCGTACAGAACGTTGCAGGCAGTGCACACGTTGATCCGATGCGACTAGCGCGCTGCAGCGCATAGTGTCTGCTCTTACTGCTCACTCACGCCGCCACGGCTGCAGTGCATGGCCAGGGGCCGGTAGACGTGCGACCGGATTTCCATGTCCACGGCAGTACAAACTGAGGTTATCGTTTTCACTCACAAAGCAACTGTTCAGTACATGGGGTAGTGGTCTACCAGAGCAATCACACTCACGATGGGTTATCGTTTTCCACTGGAGGAGTCCCAACGTGCACAGGACCTGATTGTGTCTGCCAGTCCGTAGATCACTGGAGGAGTCGCAACGTGCACAGGACCTGATTGTGTCTACCAGTCCGTAGATCACTGGAGGAGTCCAAACGTGCACAGGACCTGATTGTGTCTGCCAGTCCGTAGATCACTGGAGGAGTCCCAACGTGCACAGGACCTGATTGTGTCTGCCAGTCCGTAGATCACTGGAGGAGTCGCAACGTGCACAGGACCTGATTGTGTCTGCCAGTCCGTAGATCACTGGAGGAGTCGCAACGTGCACAGGACCTGATTGTGTCTGCCAGTCCGTAGATCACTGGAGGAGTCGCAACGTGCACAGGACCTGATTGTGTCTGCCAGTCCGTAGATCACTGGAGGAGTCCCAACGTGCACAGGACCTGATTGTGTC